GGAAGAATGAGGGTCAAATGGAGGAGCGGCCGCGGTTTATTCCGTTTCCAGTCCTGGTTCAACTTGTTGCCCCGACTTTTTCCTGTTTCTTTGCTGCTGCTGTGCTTTGTGCTCAATAAGTTTTTTTAATTTTATTTTATTCTAATTTAATATTTAATCTTATTTCTTGAATTAACCACGGGATGACGCGACCCGCTGCTGTGTGACACGCTTTTTGTTTTTGTTTCCATGACATCCTTCGCCAGACGAGACTCGCGTTAATTCTGAGAAATTTCTTCAGGGGGAAAAAAATAACACTACCTCCTGACCTCTTGTCCAAAGGCAAAGCGAGAATCATTTGAATGTTTTTTTTCTTCATAGCAGGTAAAGTTGTTCCTATTCAATTGATGACGTTATTTATTGGAGTGAAAAATGCAGATGGGGTATTCATGTGCAAATTTATTGCTTTTTGCCAATTTCATTGTGGGAAGCACGGCAAGTGAGTGGCTTTTAAAATTATTGTGCAAAAAATATAATCCCTTCTAGTGAGTCTAATAAAAAATTTTTTGTATGTCTGGATTTTAATTTGAAGAACTCACTTCAGTGAAATTTCCAGTTATATTCAACCAGGCTTCAAATTTTCCTTTTTACACAGAAAAATTATTAACATTAGTTGTGGAGAAAAATAAATCTCCAACACTTTCACAGTGCTCTATGATAAATTCTATGAAAGTTTCCAAAATGTTTCCAAGTTTTATTTGAACAGCATCCTTTCTGGAAGTTCATCTAAATTTTTCAATCATTGATTTTTCATTAAAAAAAAATACTGCATACATTTTATTCAGCGATAATTTATCTCTCCTATAAACTGATCAATGGCACAAGAGAAGAAAACTGATTAATTTAATTTAATAAAAAATGAATTTTCCCATACAGTATAAATTAATTTGGTGCATGAGGTGTGTGGGAATTATATTTTTTAATGCTGATCAATCAATAAAAATTGCATTCATGACATTTTTCCCATAAGTCAGTTTTTCAGAAAATATCAGATACTAGCTCACATGTATTTTTTTTTTACAATGCAAACTCAACACTTCCAGGTCCAGTTTTGTTCCCTTCAAACCATTGTCCAGCACCATGGGACATGAAACTCCAGGGCCTGCAAGTCTGCGCAGAAGAATGCCAACGTGACACAGACTGCCAAAATTTGCAGAGGAAGCCAAAGTGTTGCATGTCATCTTGTGGTGCAAGGAAATGTGTGGAACAAGCCCCTGTACTTGGCAGTAGATCAGATTTCCAGCAAGAATTTGCTCAATCATCTCTGAATAAGAACTATTTTGCTCATGACTGGGGTTGGAGTCCTTGGTACAACTACTACAGGAACAGGGCTGTGCAAGAACAACAGCCTGAAATCTGTGGACATTTTGTCTGTGGCAGAGGGGAAGTGTGTGTAGATGTCACTGTTGCAGAATGTCTGATCACCAGAAGTGCATGGATGCTTTGTCCTCAGGAGAAGCAGTGCATAGATCCCAGTAAGTCAAAGCCATAAAATGTGATGTCAAAATACTGCATCTCCAATGCTGTGGGAACATTTTCAAATTTTACTAAACATTTCTAAACTCCTAATTCATAACCAAAGAACTCAACAAATTTTCTATGTACAGAATTGCAGGTTCTTTTCAATTACTGTCTTTGCCATATATGTATGCTCCAATGATGCCCTGGTATTAATTTGAAAATTTTCAATTTTTGACCAGCATCTATTAAAGACTGGGAATTACTTTCAACAGTTGCAGCTCTGGAAAAATATTGAAAGAAAAATAAGAAAAAATCGAAAAAAATTGAATTTCCCAATGATTTTTGGAAATGAGACAAAATGCATAAACAAAAGGCTGAAGGGAAGGGGGTTCTTTGTTAAGTAATTAAGACTAGTTTGTGGAAAGGATTATTAGGATTTAAATATTCTTGGATCTCTTCACCCGCCCCCCCCCCCCCCCACCCCCAACTAATATAATAGGGGCTGGCTTTACCATATTTTTGAATTTTACAAAGTGTCTTGCAATTTAACCACTTTGCAATTTGAACTTATAGTTTGGCAACAGATGTGGGTCAAAGTGTGAGGTACAACCTGCACTTTCCTACCATGTGCCACACCTGTGAAGTAAAAAAGTGAAGAATAAAGGGGAATTTAGTATACCCCTATGAAATGGAATTTACAATCCAACTACACCAATAGTATTATCTTCACTAACTGTAGGGGTTGTGTTTCAAAATAGCACAATATAAATAGCTTACAATTCAACATCTTATATACAGTTTGAAATCATGTTTCTCTTTCCAAGGACTTCCAACTTGCTCAGGCTTTTCATGTGGCCCAGAGGAAAGATGTATCATGAAGGGTTGCCACAAGCTAGACTGCAACCCATTCCCCAAATGCATACCCTTGACAGCCCATGGCACAGGAACAACTCCATCAGCACAACCTGCAGAAAAGCCATGTGGCAAAAGGAGTTGTATGCAAGATGAAAAATGTTTGACAGTCAGTACCAAACCCTGTGTTTTCAATGGTTTTGGTGCATTGGACTGTGGCTTCAGAAAGCAATGTCATTCTTCAGGTAAGAATATTTTTGCCTATTTTTATGCTAAGAATTTCCTACAAACCAAACAGTGTATATTTTGGTGTTTTGCTCAACGGTCATAGAAATAACCAAAAGTTTTAAAGCTGTCTCTATTCCACTACTACCATCAATTTTTTGAGTTTTTTAATTGAATATAGTTCAAAATTCTGATGAAAACTTGAAAATCAATTTTCTGTAATTTGAAAACTGGATTTTATTGAAAGCTCAATATTACTTTCAGTGTCACAACCTTTACAGATTTGAAATAACACAGTTTGCCTTAATTTGCAATCCTTTTGTTTCAAAGGAATCCTCACTTGCTCAAATGTGACCTGTGCTCCTGCTTATCTAACATGTATCATGCAGAAAGACCTAAGCTGTGGTTACTCAAGGTGTCCACTGAAAGTGCAATGCGTGGATCTAAGACCCCAGTCTGGATCTACTTTGTCTGCTCCACCAATTTCAGCAAGTATTCTGTGATTTTATCAGACTGTAAAGCAAATATTCTATGTATGTACTACCTTTCAGAGCACAACCATGACCACAGTGTCCACTACTATCAACTCTACTGGTCCTGATCTCAACACTGGCTTTGAAGAACCAGGTCTACCTGATGGAGTTGTGCTGACTAATGTGTCATCCATTGATCCAATCCCTTCAACCAGTTCAACTTCAGCAGGTATAGTATCCATCAATTATTCAATTTGAAACCATATGCATTTCTTTTACATGTTTGTGGATTCTTGCAAGGCTTCATTCCTGATGGTGCATCTTCAACTGAATCAGTTGGAATGGGAAGTGACAAACCTTTGGTTGATCCATACCCTTCATCAGAAAAACCAACCACCACAGCTGTATCAGAGTCAACTACCACTGGACCAATGAGGAATAAAACAGAAGGTGCTGATTTCCCTTCAGAAGGAGTTCCAGGGGTTGACACTCCCCTGGACAGCATCTTTACATTTGATCCTTACCCTTCATCACCAGAAAAGCCAACCATTGGGAGTACCAACCCTACTGCTGTACAGGTCACTACATCAGGAACAATGGCAATGAGTACAACAGAAGGTTCCCCTGGAGAAGGTGTGCCTGGCATTGACACACCTTTGGACAGCATATTTCCATTGGATCCTTACCCTTCATCACCAGAAAAGCCAACCATTGGGAGTACCAACCCTACTGCTGTACAGGTCACTACATCAGGAACAATGGCAATGAGTACAACAGAAGGCTCACCTGGAGAAGGTGTGCCTGGCATTGACACACCTTTGGACAGCATAGTTCCAATAGATCCTCAGAGTTCATCAGAATATCCACTGACTGGGAGTACCACTAGCAGTAGTCTACCACCAGATGGTTCCAGCAGCAGTGTGGGTGGAAGCTTTGGAACCACTTCTGCACCAGTTCAAGGAAGCTTTGGGACTGCTGCAAGTTCCTTACCTGCTACAGGTAGTACTACTTCAGGAATTTCACTCATTACAACTGAAGCTACAACAAAAGAACCTAATGGTACAAGTACCACTAGTGTAGGGTCTAATGCTGGAAGCAATGATGGACCATCAACAGTTCCAGCACCAACTGGAACTGAATCAACAAGTGTATCAGACCAGACCTCTGCTCCTCCACAGCCACCAGCAGTGATTTCAACAGCAGGAACCACAATTCAGCCATCTGATAATTCAACAAGTCAAGAAACAAAACCAACCACAAGTTCCATTGAAACCACTTCTGCATCTTCCAATTCAATTTCTGCTAACTCAACAGCAAGTTCTTCAGTTTTTACTGAGTCAAGTTCAACTTCTTCTGCAACTTCATCTAGCACTCACCATGCTTCTTCAGTTCCAGTTATTTCAACTTCAACAAGTCCTTCACCTCTGAATTCAGAATCTACAGTTATTGAAACCTCCAGTATTCCATCTTCCACATCTGAGACTCTCTCATCCTTGGCCACCAGCATGATTCAGACCACTACTGAAAATCTGACTACCTCATCTTCCATCTCAGTTACTTCTCCAACCATGCCAAGTTCTTCCACCCAAACAGCAACTATGACATCATTATTGTCTACAACTTCCCCAACTCCTTCTGTGGTCCCAACCAAACCATCCTCAGGGTCCATAGAGAGTTCAAGTTTATCAACAGCAGGGATTTCAAGCATAACATCCACTCTTGCAACATCAACATTATCAACAATTGGGTCATCAACATCAAGATCACCAACATCCAATCCATCATCATCATCAGTTTCTGTCAACCCAGGATCCTCAACTTCAACTCTACAAACAGGCTCAACTCTGCCAAGCCCTTCATCTCCTACATTAAACACAACCCAGGTGAGACTTTTAATGCTTGGATTGAGGAGGGATCCTGACCATCATGCAGCAAAGTTGAAATATTTTTGAGGGGTGGGGCATTTAAGTTTGACCAAAGGTCACTGAAATGTCCCCAGGTTGCCAAGGCCTAAGTTTGAAAAAAATCTGGGTGCAGAAAATGCCATTGTCTCAAGAAATTCCCAATGTTAGTCCAATTCTGGGAATGCATGAAAAAACGCCCCCCAGCAGGGAGGCATTTTTTTTATTTTTGAGCCAAAATTTTCTGCAGGACTATGAAAAAAATAGCAGACTTTTTCCTGCCTTATAAGCCTTGGTTCAAAATGTTGGTTTTTTCAGCCCTCACAAGTGCAAAATTTTGCATAAATATCCTGACTTTGTGGCGTAAAGGTTAATTTATAGATTGAACTGTTTGAAACTTTTCAGATACATTTTTTGTTTACACATTTCCAGACACCGGGAAAGGCCACCCTATGCGGCCATTTTGTTTGTGCAAGGAAGGAGAGATGTGTGGATGTTGTCACCAATTGCTCAGCTTGCACTTTTGGCACCCAAAATGTACCCAAGTGTCCTGAAGTTGAAAAGCAATGCATTCAACCAGGTAACAGGAAAAATGTGTGAATTACACTGGAATTTTATGAAGTGATTCAAAAGTATTGTATTTTACTTTACTTCATCACAGGTCAAGCCCACTGCGAAGTTTCTGGGATTTGTGATAAGAGTGACACCTGTCTCATGTGTGGAGCAGCTGCCAAGACAAATCCCAAGAGAGCGCCAAAGCCTCAATGTTTCAGCAAAACCAAGACCAACTGCGAACATGAAATTTGCAGCAATTCTGAAACCTGTGTTCAGGCGACATCTGCACAGTGCTTCATTCCTGGGACAGCGGTTCAAAGTTGTTCTACTAACTCCACGTGCATTCCTAGATGTCAGTCCTATCTCGAATTCTTTCTTTTCTGATATGAAGTTTTGATTTATTCTGCAGCCAGCTGAGAACCTTGAGTTAATTTTTTTTAATTTACCTGATAATTCATCTGGATTTCTAAACAACTAAGTTGCTCCTGCTTTTGAATCTATGTCATATTATCTTCATGTTTGCTGAACCAGAATTGGAAATATTCTGACTATAAAAGCTTATGTATGATGGGTTTGGTACTTTTTTTTACTGTATCCATGGCTTAAAATGTATTTCTTGGTATATTTGAATCTGAAAACAGCTGCTCCAACCTGTGAAGACAACCCCTGCTACCCAGGGTACACATGTGTCATGACTCAGCCATTTTGTGACAGAGCAACTCAAAATGGCTGCCCTCCTGCGACACCGCGCTGTGTGAACCTCAGTCCACCAGATGGCGTCATGTGTGATGGGAAAACTTGTTCCAATGGCGAAGAATGTCGGGAAGTTGGGTCTTGTTACCCAGCAAATGACCTGAGGGTGAATTTACTGAGTTCCCTGCCAACAGCTTCCCCTGGTGAAGAAAGCTTCAAGTGTTATTTCAAGCTTGGCTGCTTTCCTTCAGGTATGACAATTTATTTTTTTATTTTTTGGTCTGTGGAAATCATTATTTTTCATTGAATCTGAAAATGTATGTTTCAGGGATACCAACTTGTGCTTTGGCAAGCTGTACTTCAGGAAAAAATTGTGTCCTGAAAATTGATTCTCCAGCAAACTGCACTTTGTCTCAGTGCAAGGCAAGTTTGCAATGTCTCAAACTGGATGAAAGAAGCCCAAAACCAACTTACACAACTTTCTCAGCTGAAAACAGAATCCAGCCATGGAAAACTTGAGTGATTTTTTTTCTCCAAAATTTTTTTAACAGAACGTTGTGCGGAATTTCAAACATTAAGTGAACAGATATTTGGGCTTACATCTGGGAACGTTAAGTGAAAAAAACGTTAACCAAATGGAACATTGTGCAAGGGTTGACTGTAATAAGTGAAATGAACATGACAACGTTGAATTTCATTTCTGCCAAATATTATCCAGTCAATGTTTAGTGCTTCCTGATGAAGGACGCTGGTGACACAAAATATTTTCTGCTTACTTATAGGTGCACTTCTTTGCACAGCAAACATCAAGTTGAGTTTCACAAAATTTTGTGAACATTTTCAAAGGACATGACACACCCCACTGTAACTTGAGGATGAAGATGGCGGCCCTGTGGGTCTTGAGTATGGATTAAAATCACTCCCTCCATCATCATGAGCTATAAAATAAATCTTAGTCACTAACAAACAGACATTCTAAACCAGTGTTCCCAACTTCTTTGAGCCCACAGACCTGCACATTTCCAAATAATTTTTTCAAACTCAAAAATGTTTTGTTCAAAAGGCTTTTTGGCAGGCATTTAAAATTTGCTGCTTTTTCTTCCAAAAATTTAATAACCAATGAATCACTATATTGTAGAATCTTGTTAAACATTGGAGTGGTGGGCTTTAAGGAAGGTTTATCAGAATTAAAAATTGAAGTAAATTATTTTGGCTGGTGAAAATTTGTCCAACAAGGTATTAGAAGAACGCTAACTAATTTTTTTCATGAAATAATTTCAACTGCTGTTGTATTTCAAACGTTTCAGATGAAGATAGCAGAATTCATTGTTACTTCAGATGAATTTAGCATGCTTCATGCTGAAAAGAAATTTCCAGGGGACTAGCAAACAATATGTTTGTGGTCTATTTATTGCAGCCAGCCCATGGACCATGGGTTGGGAACACTGTTCTAAGCTTCAAAGGCTCACCTAGGCTATTTACCTGGCAGGGCAGAGAGGAGTTTGTTGGTTGCCTCAGGGGAATTTGCATTGAAAACATCCTTCAAAGTGCTGACTGGGACTTTGACTCTGTTCTGGTTGTCACAGTGTTCCAACAGCTGCTTGACATTGTCCTGAATATGAAATCAGATGTGATTTAGATGTGCAAAAAATGAAGGATTAGGAAACTTTAATTTACCACTTTGCATTGCAGTTTGGCTTGTGTCTTCTTTAGTAGCAGAAGCTCAACAATGACACCCTGCTTTTGGGGGTCAACATCTCTGCCATTCATCTCAAAGCCATTCATCAGCATTGAGGACCTGTGCAAAAAAATCTGAAATTGATAAAGCTCAAATTTGCCGGAAATTATATTTCCTATTCTTTATCAACTTTACTATTTTCTTTATGAAAAGTTCAAACCCTTTTTCTACTAATATGTTTTGAGCTTCAATTGCAACTTCAAGTTTGAGAGATGAAATATGATAAATTATTTAACCACTGCTTCAATTTTGGCCAATTCATTCATGAAATTTAGAATCTGGAAATTGAGTTGAAAGTGTAGCAATGGCTCAAAGTGTACATCCATGTACTGATTGGCAATTAATAGTTTTCCAAGACTAACATTTTTTATTTGCATTATGAAAGTTACACTCAAATGTGAACTGGTGAAAAAGGAATCGCACAACTCATGACTAAAATTGTTAATCTTGGCCAAATGAACAGCCTTGATTAATATATTGCTGGGAATTTCTCAAGTGATGTGGAAAATCCTGTCTCAACGGTTTCTCATGTAATTTTGCAAATGTCCTGAATTTTGAAGAATTCCTTATTATAAATCAGAAATATAAAACACTGGGCCATTATACTTGGAAAATACAGCCTTGTCCCCCTTCAACATGTCCTTGGTACTCAGTCCATCTCCTCTTGGTGTTGCTGAATTTCGCACTCTTTGCTTACCAAATACCTGCACAATGACTTCCCCATTGTGCAAATAATCTGTGAGCTGAAACAAATGCATGTCATTGATAACACCTTTGAGAGCTAAGTAAAACAAATCTAGTACCTGCTTAGTCACTGGATTGAACCTGAATAGTTTCTCATGATTGAAGTCTGGATTGGATGTGGCTTTTGCCTTTGTTGTAATATTGGGTATTTCATCCAAGTAAACTTTGTAACTGCAGTAGATGTCCTGAAAAAAAAAGAATTCAGTGGATTTATATAAATCCTGAAAATTAATTGTATTGTCAGGTTTTTTAAATGTTCACCCTGTATTTGTTTGGCAGTCCTCTGCAATTGAGAAGCTTGATCTTGAAATTCACTTCAGACCCTATGAGTTGTTCTGGACTGTCCACAAATTTATCATCTTCTTCTCTGTAATCAACTCCATTGGCATCACATGGACTCACTTCCACCTAACCAAAACCAAGAGTCAAAAACAGAATGAAGAATTTAATTATGCTTAAAAATTCTTTAATTATTAAACCATCAGCAATCATAAAATTGGTTAAAATAATTGGAGACTTTCTTTTGAACTACTCCATTAAGTATTGAAAAGCTTATGTTTTGCAGGCATTAGAAATTGCTGTGAAAATTCAAAAGCTTGTTGAGACTGCTTCATAATGGTTTAATTTAAAAACACTTGTTGTTGAATTTGGAAAATAAAGTTTCCTTTTTTTCATAAAATTTTCAGAAAGGAGACAAAAATTACTCACATTCATCACACCAATTTTCCCCTTGAAATCCAAGACGTCCAATTGCTCTTTCATCTCAACCTGGAAACATGCATTAAACTTTTGAAAACTTGACTCAAAAAATTAATTTTCAAATTTCAGAACCATGTAAGAAATCGGTTGCAGGAAAAGGTTGACGCTTCCAATGAGAACTTCTTCCTCAGGATCTTCTCTGAAAGGATCTCTTTCCTTAAAAATGAAATTTCAACAAAATATTGCATATCATAGAAATCTTGAAACAAATTGTGATCATCCATAAAAACCACCTGAGGGACGTCCCATTCATCATCGTCGTCATCGAAGTTGTTGTACATCTCCCTCATCAAGTAGAGTCTGTTGAAGAATTTTTCCTTTGGCCAAACAAACTCCGTTCCATTGCCAAGATCTTTCATTTTGACGCACACCTGTTTTTTTAAAAATTATTATAGGAAAATAAACTAGGGTTAAAAAATCGGAGAAAAAAAATTGGCACCTCAGAACGTCCGTTTGTTTTGCCCATCATTTGAGGAGACACAATCATGATTTCAAACTTTGCTCTCTTGTCAAGTTGGCCACTGATGGAATTTGCTTCTTCAACTGCTGGCAACACTTCCATGATTTCATCCTGCAAAGCTGCGGCATCTGCATTTTATAGAAATAAAGAACACAATGTAATAGAATTGTTATCTAATTATCCAAAAACAGCTGCATGGGGGAAAACAGCATATTTTTTCTTGAAAGGAAAGAAGGCAATTTGTATGAAAGGAAAAATCCTTGCAGCAAGTGTAAATGTGTCTAGGTTAACATAATTTTTTTGCAGAAAAAGAAAGCAAATTAGATTTTTTTTTAACCTGCTGAAGCATCAGTTGCAGAAACATCAAGACCCTGTTTAGCAGCAATTTCTTCTTGAGCATACTCATAAGTGATGGGGACAAATTTCTTGCCACTTTTGGCAGCTTCTTTTGGGTTTTGGAAAACCCATAGTTGAGTGAATCCAAAGACAATCCTGAAAAATCATGATCCAGAAAGTTAGAAGAAATATACTGGCAATATTTGAAAATTTAAAGATTCAACCTGTCATTGTGGCACAAAGTGGTTTCACCAGCCATTTCAGAGCCATTCACCAGGATTCTGCAGTCTGTGTTGAAGGGTTTCAGATTGACAATATTTTTCTTTGGGTCCAGAGTCACAATGGCATGGGTTTCATTTATGCTAAATAAAATGTACTGAAAATGTAGAACATTCAAGGCTTTCAAAGGATGATTTTTGGAAAATCAGACCTTGGCCCAACAATGACAATGTCAGACTCTTTTCCTTTCCTGTTCCCAATTTCCTTGGATCCAGGGTGGATGATGTAGACAAGTTTCCCAGACAATTGTGGGTCTGGGTTTAAATTGATGAAGTGGGGGTTTGTCACTTTTTCATCTGCCACAGTTTTTGCTTCAGCTCTCTGATATAGAATTGTTCAGTTTTTTATATTGAAAAATTTATATTTTTGTTGTTGAATGAAATATTACTTGAGATGCAGCAGCTGCAGCTTCTGCCTCAGCCTGTTTCAGCTTCTCTTCATAACTCTTCTTCATCTCTTGGATTTCTCTCTCATTTTCCCTCATCTGAGCTTTCAGTTCCTCCTCCCACTTTTTTCTTGCTGTTGATGGATGAATACATTATGCATGATATTATTTTTAGATTTGGAATGAAAAGGAACTAATGCTTGCCTGAGTCAGATGCATCAGGTCCAGGACCTGCAGCATCCAAAGCAACCCCACCAACCATCATCTTCTTCAGGCGCTCATTTTCCTCCTTGAGCTCCCTGAGAAGCTTATCTGTGGCACTTTCATTGACAACAGCTGTTGTCTTGATTTGTTTTGCTCTGTCAGCTATAATTTGAATTTTTAATAAAAGAAGAAGGTTCATAAAATTAATTTTTGAATTATGGAATTTATTGGGGAACACAGACAGTAAAAAGTCTTTCAAGTTTGAAACAAGACAAGAAACCAACCATATCTGAGAGTTGAGAGGGTTTCTTCATAGTTGATATCAGCAGGACTGATGGCAGCCACCTGAAAGTAAAGTTAAAGAAAAGGGTTCAAAGGTGGAAATTATAATCATCAAAATTGGGATTTTATTCACCATGATGGTCTTGGAATTGCCTCCCAAGGCATTCATCAGCAACTTGGTCAAAGCAGAGTCCCTGTAAGGTACCCTGACCTTTTTCCCTTGTGAATTTTCTGCCAAGGCATGAATGCAATTTCCAAGGCAGGATAATGACTGATTGATGGATGCCCCTTCTTTGAGTCTGGCACCAGTTGCTCCTGTGCTCTCAACTCTTTCACTGAGAGAGAAAATGGGAAAAATTTATTTCAAAATACAAAAGTCATATTTTTGGACTCTTCTAAGCCAGTGTTTCCCAGCATTTTTGGACCCATGGACCAGCAAATTGCCCTAGAATTTGTTTGCACACTGGCAAATTTCCCAAAATTTCCTGCAGCTTGGCAAAGTTTTTCATCATCAGGAATCCTTATGAAAAGCATTGAAAAAGGCTTCTGCATTTTTGCAAAAATTAAGACCCTAAATTAGAAAGGTAAGAATGTTCTTAAGGTGCCTTTTCCTGGTGATGCTTCAATCCTGAAATTATGCTACTGTACAATCCATTTTATATTGAAAAGCAAGCACTGTGATGAAAGTTGATCATATACAGACCTTCCAGCCAAGTCAACAAGGTTGACTACAGAGGTTTTAGCAGTTTCCTGCCCTGCAGCATTCTTGGTTTTCTGCACAAAGTGAACAGCAACAATGGTGTGAGCCCTTGAGGAAGTTGCATTCATGTTGGTGGCTGCAACAGTCCTGTTCCTGGTGCCTTCTTCCATTTTGGCTGCAATGTCTTCATAGGATGTGACCAAGACTGTCTTCAGGCCTTCAGCTGTTGAAACAAAAAAATGAAGAATCAGATTTTTTGACTTGCTTTTGACTAATGTGAATCAAAAATTAATACCATAAAATCCTTTCATGTTGTTCTCCCTGATCTTCAAGCCTCCCTTTTTGCCAGCAGGATTCAGCAGGTCATGGACAACTTCATTGTAGATCTCCAGCATGCTGAATTTCACTTCATATTGAACCCCATTTCCTTGGTTTTCTTTGATCTTGGCAAACAGGGCTTCACAGAACATGGGGACCAATCCTGGAAAATATGTGTCACATGTACAGTACCAAGATGTCCAAATACTGTATTGAACTTTTTAATTTTAAATTACCTTTGTTTTTCCCATAGCCAATGATAGACCAAGACTTTCCAGAGCCAGTTTGTCCATATGCAAAGATGGTGGCATTGTAACCCTCAAGAGCATTCTTGAGGATTCCTTCCCCCAGGTCATCAAAAACCAATTGCTGAAAGCAATCAAGCAACCATTTGTTTTTACACATTCTTTTGTTATGTTTTTTGATTGGGAATGTTTAATTTTGCTACCAAAAATGTCCCCTGGCTGTAAACAAATTGTTAGTGTTGTCTTTTAAAATGTTTTGTGCCCCCACAATTCAAACCTAATCTATTGAAGGCCTAGGGTTGAATTGTGAAGCAGTCAAATTGTGAGACAATGTCAAATTTGATGTTTTATGCATTGAATTAGACATTGTTGGTCTCTCTGCAGGTAAAATTGTGGGGCAGAGGTCAAATTGCAAGTCAACATCCAAGCAAATTCAACCATTAAATTGCTGTGGGACAGTTGAATTGCGTGAAGTCAAATTGCAAGGTAACACCTGATGTATTGTCAGTATATACATTATTCCAAGAGAATATTTGCTTCTTCTAACCCAAGAATGTGCATTAAAATCACACACTTCTATTCCATAAATAAGATCACAAAGTATATAAATACTCCAATCAAGAAAACCAGACTTTTGTTTTGCAGCACTTTCAAACAGACTTGACCAACCAAGGTTATTTCTGCAAATTGTGGACCTTTGCACTTGTTGCAAAATAGGATGCAATGTTATGCATTTTTCAATAATGAACATATACTTTTTGTCAGCATTGCAGAGGTCAATTAAAGTTCAGACAAGCTGAGGGGAGTTATTAAGAGAGAGTTTTCTTAAATATTTTTAAAATTTGTGGAGTTTGATGTGTGCTGGTAGTATTTCTATACCTGATCAGCATATTTGCCTCCATTTGGCTGAGAAGAGTCTGGTTCAAAATAGCCTCCAGCAGCTTCTTTGCAGCCATCAAAGGACCAGTAAGAATAGTCAAAGGAGAAGGGCTTGGGTTCTGCATTCGGGTTGTTGGGGTCCCTGAGCTGGGTAATCTTCCCATTCATCTCCACGATGCATTTTGCGTTTCTTGCCAATTCTCGGGAATTGTGCACGCAAAGATGGTTAAGGAAAAAATCAGCTGAGTAAATGCAGCAAACGTTTACAATTTTACCAAAAATATTCCATCATTTTTTTGGTTGAGTGAAGAGGCTAAAGACAAGACATGTCCTAATGCCGCGCGCCTCTAAATAATTTGTATAAGCAACCATTATTCAAACCAAATGTCTTTATTTGTTCAGGGCTTTGTGAGAAATGTTTGGTTGTGGTTTTCTCCGAGAGAAAAATTCAAATTCTGAGCTTGGAAAAATCTTGCTTTATTCTTGTCCCAGTTCTGCGCACCCAATTGGCGGAAAAATGCAAAGAGAACACTATTATGGCGGGAATATGTTTTATTCATTTTTTTATTGTCTGATTGCTCATAAATTGTTCAGTGCCACGCAAAATTAGGATAAAACCAGATAAACTGCCTAAAGATAAGTTTTTGCCTCAATTTTAGCTTATTATTGTAAAGAGCTCAGGTGTCACAGAACAAAGAGTTGAGCTACATAGGAGTAAAAAAAACGTGATTTTCTTTGAAAAGGATATGAATGGTCGAACCCGAACCGCAACTTTGACGTTTTCTTCAGTCATCCTGTTTTTTTTCTCTTCAATTGCTGGCTCAAGCTTCTAAAAAATCCTGTTAATATACCTTTAATTACCAGAAAAATAATCCAGAATCACTGGTTTCAAGCATATATGCGAAAAACCTGCAAGAAAACACATTTTTCTGTCAAGAATTGGAAAATTTTTGTGAAGATGGAAAGCACATATAGGGAAGAAGGTATTGACTGAGCATTGAAGCATGGTCAGCAACTGAGGTCAGCTAAAAGCCGTGAACCATTTTCTTGCAAAAGGTGGCAAGGTTACCCTGACCTCAACACACAAACAGTGGGTGTTCCAGAAGTTTTTGTCATTTTTGGGAAACCTGTATATATAATTCAAGTGTGCTGCATTTAATCAACATGAAAGTTTGCAATTTTTATCCCAACAGAATCAGGGGGACTTGATATTAGCCTATCCAGAAATACATTACCATTCTATTGTAAATGGCAGAAATTCAAAATTCATGAATAAAAGGGGTCAAGGATATTTAAATTTTAAAAATGTTCAGAGGTATAATACATATTATTCATTGTCTTGTATTTTGCATGTTGATACATTTATTGGAAAATTATGAAAAGTAGTTCCAGTAATTTTTTAGATTTAATTTTTTTTTAACTGATGAGCATAAGTATGTTTTTGTAAGTATTAGATTGATTCCCAAGCCAGACAAAAATTGGAACAGATCAATTTTGTGGACATAAAAATAATTTAAAATGTTTCAAATACAGTATACTGTACTGAAAGATGTATCATGAAAAACTTTTTGACAGCCCCTCATGTATATGTGTAGCACATGCTGCACATTGAGGGACAACATTGATCAGGTTTTGCACTCCCTCTTTATTGTATGAGAGGTTTGCAACAGAAATACATTCTCCGGTCAAGCTATAGTCCAACATATGTCCCTGACCTCCAGCCAACTGATTCAGGCACACATAATGTCCATCACTATACTCATACCAAAATGTTGATCTTCAGGAGTGAAAACATTCTAAATATTGATTAAGAAAAAGCAGTCTTTTTCAGTACAATTCATACATCTCTTTTCCTTTTATTCAAAAACATGCATGTTATGCTTTGAAATTCACTTTTATTATATTTATATACAGCACTACACTCATATGATTGATTACAGCTTCAGAAAATATTTTGTTGCATGGAAAATTCCACCCTGTAGATGAAATTTTTGAAAAGAGCTTATTCAAAAAGAAAATTTTCAAGATATATGATCAAAACATTGTACTGCTGTTTTGTAAGTTTATAGTTTATTATTGGAATACATAATACTGAGGTTTAAAAAAAAATTTGTTGCTTGAAGTTTATCCTCTCTTGAAATGTCATTAAATTTTGAAGAAACATGTTTCAATTGTTTTTTTTCAAGATTTTTTTGGCTGATTTATTCCTGTATAAAAAAATTGCTATGACCTTTGGCTGTTTTTTTGGTTGTTATCTGAACGTAAATGTGAACATGGTGTCTTATTTTAAGTGTACAGAACAGCAGTACTGTATATTAAAAACTAAAAAAGGTTCTCATGCAAAGAGCTGAAATGAATTTTTCAAATGCTCATGCATTATTGCTGAAGAAAAAAACCTTTTGCAATGGTATAAACATACATGAAGCTGCATTGAGTTTTCCCAACATGAAACAATTAGTTACAGAAAGTATTTTACAATATTAAAATGTATTTATGGTCATAAATATTTGGTGATTAGTTGATTACATATATACGCGTCAAATATTTATTGATCCCCTGCTGTAACCTGGCCTAGGCATGTTTCTTCACCCAATTTTATTCCATTCATTAAATGCTGGCACCTCTGTGGTTGCCATGGCTACAAAATACTTTGCGTACACCTCAAATGGCTTTTGTGGCTGCTGGACATGAAAGCAGGTTTTTTGAGCATACAAATAACGTTTTTGTACTTTAAAATCATCAATATGTGTTCATCTCATTATCTCGAAATAAACTGTTCATTTATTTCTAGAATATACACTGGGATTTGATCTAGAAGTTGACGATTGAAAAATGGCGCACTGGGCTCTCTATATACTTCAAGAAAGAAAGCAATTTAGTCATTTTTTAAAACTGTAATTTAATTTCATGCAATTATTTTGGATTCTGACAAAGAATAACTGAAGAAGACAAAGTAAAACTGTTGAAATGCAAAATATGCAGGTATATTTTTGAATTTGGTTCCTCAAAGAAAAATAATTTCTTTCACGTAAGAATACAGCTCCCAAAAGACAATGCTCACCCAATACAGGATAGATTCAAAATTTGACCTTCCCTATAACAAAAAAAAACAATTTTCAGATTTGTCTATCCATACTAAGAACATACAAGCACCGCAACTTTCTTTTCCATTGCTGGAAGAACAGCGAACAGGTTTAAAACTGAATGGCTAATTTGTTTTCTCCTTTTTTTGTTACTGTACCTGAAAATAAAATAGAAATAAATTCAAATTTCCAGTGAGTTGAGGCTCAGATTTCCATCATCCACCGTGTAATTTATAATATCCTACGCATTTTGCTGGGATTTCAAATTACATCTTCTGCGCTCCAAGCGAATCAAAAAATATATCCAAAATACTCTTGCGTTTTTAATCAAGTAGGTGTCGCCTCTCGTAGAAGTTAAACACATTTCAAAGCAATATGCTATTGCGCAGGATATACAATATGTTTGATCGATACACCATCCATTACCTTTCTCATGGTGTATCAATAGAATGATGCGATAGGTCTTGATTCTTGAAAATAAGGGAAAGGTTTTGAGAAATATACCATCACGCGTTCAATGCCCGCTATATACCATATACCTGAAAATTACCTGAGGATATGTATAAATGGAGGTTATGTTTGGAACACCTGTTGCCATGGATACATTGACATAGAAAATGTCTCACCTTATTTTCTTCTTGGAAACAAGTCAGGCATTTCCCTGTTCTAGGTCCGTTGCACTCCATTCCAGAGGGAACAGAGTTTTGGTTTATACTTATTTTCCATAGGGGGAAATGTGAAATGCATAAACTAAAAAAAAATAAGAAATGTGAATTAAATGTGTAAATTCGGATTTTGATATTTTTTTCAAATGAAATGGCCTACACTTTTTTTTTTCATTATATTCTTGATGGACAGACAAGTGATCATTTTGTGTATATATACTGTACTATTGCATGATAAGTGATGCAATCAAATTCAAATTCATAATTGCAAGCAGCACATTGCATATGTTTACAATGCATTGGTACAAGTTTTGTGGAAAATGTGGTTCATATCATTTTATTTTGAAAAGAAAAAAAACTTTAGTTCTTCATTTTTGTATGCTGTGTATGTTCCTTTGACACTTCCAAGTGTAATAGACAATTTTGGGTCATTAAAAGAGGGATTCATCATTATGTGCTCCTATTATATACAATCATATGTGAATTTTGTGCAGGGGTTCAACTTTGTTGAGTAATCTAAAAATGAGTTCAAGTTTTATGAATTTTAGACTGTATGGGGGTAAAGTAAATTTAATAACATAAATGCTAAAGACATCTAATGCATTAATGATTTCCTGAATATTAAAAGCTACAAAACCACCGCACAAAACCTGAAGAGCAAGGTTCAGCATTGTGAAAAAATTTTCCATTTATTCTATTCAATAATTATTAAGCAAAGCTTCACTCAATTACACAGATGGGATTTTAGGGTGGGGTCTGGAACAGATTGGATTCCATGTGTATACAATATTAATAGGTCAAATTTATACTAGTAGGCTGACAAGTAACATTGTAACTTATCAATTAAGGCTATTATCAGTCTTAAAAGTGCTTCCCAATTATTTCAGAATTTCCAGATAATTATTCTGGGGCTGGTGCGGTAATCTGGAGCTGGTGGTTGTGCGTGAAATGGGTGGGTCATGCAGCAGAGACACAATCCCACCAACAACTGGGAGAGTTGGAGCAGACAAAAAGGACAGCATGGGACTAGCTCCTTTACATGCAGGTGGCAACACTACCAACTCTGCATACCAGGTAATATTATAAACACCTCTTCATACTTGATTCATCCCATTATTTTTGAGTATGATTTTACTGATGTTTTTCATCAATTTGTTTGTATATATAGCCTGTACTCAACATGAATAGATACTCATCCAAGAAGAGCCTGGCTCAGGGCATGTTGGACATTGCTCTCCTCACAGCAAATGCCAGTCAGTTGAAGTATGTTTTGCAATATGGCCCAAAGCATGAGTTCTATGCCACACTCCTTGTGATGATTGGAGTCTCAATATTCCTCCAGGTAAGCTGAAAAATCATATTTTAGAGTCATAAATCCAAATTTGCAATATATCACCCAGCAAGAGTTGATCCTGTGATTTTAATGTAAATACCTATCAATACTTGAAACCACCACCTCAATGTAGCATACATAGGAAATGGTGAACTGTTATAGCTTTACTGTATATGATTTTATCTCCTCAAAGATTCTTTCTATTGATTGTTTAATCAATTTAAAATTTTATCTGGGAACAGGCTGAACACTGTCTGCTTCAATTTGTGCTCAGTATAATTGTTTTGATCTGTCATATTGTCATTAAAAATGATGGCAATTCATTGGACATGCATTTGTAAATTTGTGTGTACAGTACTGCCATTTATTTTTCTTTAAATAATTATGCTGTTCAGTGCATTACTTATGATATGCTGGAATGCGTGGAATGGATGTGTGAGGGGATTTGGGAAAGTTTTGCTAAAATGTGGACCATCATAAGTGGCACATTAATATTGTCCATCATTTATCAACAAAAAATGGCTCACATTAAAAATGTTGAGGTTTTGTAAAGTTTGTAAATTGATACAATAAAATTTGCAAATTACACAAATGTGTTGTTCGTGCGTGTTCCACCAGGGGGTTATTGCCATCATGACCTTGTCTTTGAATCTGGCACATGACTGCCTGGTGGAGCGGCCGAACTTCCAAAGAACCACTCTGGCAATCAACTACATCAACCTCAGCCTCACCCTCACTGTCACCTTCCTCAACATTGTCATCTCAGCCCTGGGTTACACAGTCCAGCCTGGATCAGCATCTTTCCCCTCTGCTTTTGGATAAATTATGAGCATATATGATGTTCAAGACTTCAAGAGTGATCATGAAAAACATAACGATGCATATAAAATGCTCCAATGCTAAAAAAAATTGAATGTTTTGCTGATTAGAAGACCAAATCCACACTAATGATTGTCCCTTGAGAATAATCCACTGAATTTATTCTGTAGAATATGAGATTTCTTTTGAATATGAATAAGACCTGGTGAAAAACTTCATTTTTCTCTGGCAGTTATTTAAAAATGCAAAATTTCTTGTGTTTTAAAGTTGAAAAATTTCATTCCAAATATGCACATTGTTATTTTCTTCCATTATTGGTCAAATTTGGATGCAATTTTGAATATGGGAAAAACCTTAAAAACACAAGCACTCCAATGAACCATTATGTTTCCTGGTACATTTTTCCTGAGTGAGTAAAACCCAATATAGTACAGTTTAAAAGCTTGCAGATAAGATATATATTTTTAAATATTCTTAAAATGGGTTTCTTTCTATATAGTCATGTTTTCCTCAGATTTTTTTTCGCTGTGACAAACATAGTTTATTTTACATGCTTAATAGGACACTGGAAAAGGTTTTTCAGCCTTAGTCAATCTGCAACTGTATGTTTGCTGCAGTGCTGCGTTTTATATAGTGTGGCTTGGTCGCAATAAAAATTTACTTTTGCAAATTTTTAAATCCTGGGCCACCCCTGTGTATATAGATACATGATACATGCTTAAAAAGATGATTGTTTATATGTTATTATATTGCCAATTTAGATTATTCTTGGGATTCTGATCCTGCTCCTGAGCTCGCAGAACATAAACTACAAGGAGAATCAAAAGGCAGCTGACAGGATGAATGACATGGTGTTGGCCCTGAGCTTTGTGGTTGCATCTTTGAATGTTGTGCTGAATTCCATCGACTTGAAACCGATTCCGCGAAATATCCCGCCATAATTTATCTGATAATTTATCTCATCAGTACAAGAACGCGCATATACTCTTTTGAAATAAAAGTCCTGATGGATGATGATCAAGGCTGTTTGAATATTATTTCCAATATTGTGTTTCATTCATTCAATGCACAAAATACGGCATGGTGATATTTTATTATTATCCCATGCATCGTTCATGAAAAATCCAGCGCGTTTTTCTTGAATTTTCATGAAAATTCCGAAAAAAATGACATTCATATATAAGCTCATTAAAATCGATGAACATCCAGTTTCTAAAAGAATTTCCCATGGATTGTATACTGCCTGACTACAGAATATTCGATGCTCAAGTGTTAGCAGGGGTCTTACAGGGTGGGCCAAAAAAAATTAAAAAATGTTTTGACTTACTACAGCTGGGTAGCAAGTGGAGCTGTGGGAATTAAAATAAAAACTAAATGAAAGCTTGTTCAATTTCCTTTCTGTGATGGAATGTATCACAGTTACAAGAGCCACTATACTTGACCATAAGAACCATTCAAATGAAAACTTCCCACAAGAAAGTTTTTTGTTCAATATCTAAAAACAGCTCGTCTATAGAGAACAGCAGCTTATTGGAAATGTACTGTAGTTACCAGACAATTTTACCACGTTTTTATGAACTCACTTTCTTGTCTGTCTGTCTGTCTGTCTGTCTGTTTGTCCGAAAGGAGAGGAATGTTAATCAAAGCATGAGACAAAGGGAATATCTATTCCCTTTCTCCATTCTTCTTCCAAATAACATCAGGACATTTCCTGATGTTTAACCCATGCTCTCAATACAAATGAGGAAAAAGTAAAAGGGGAATAAAATAAGTAAAGCACTATTTTCGGGATAACAGGTTATTTTTTGCTTTTTGAAAACGTGGTTTTTTAGATTAATTTTTTAATCTACTATAATTATTTCTTTGTGGAAAGCTTTCATTCAAATGGTTCATAAAACTAGACATTTGAAAGGGAATTGAACAAGCTTCCCTTTCTTCAAGAGCCAAAGCTCACTTTTCTACCATGCTACTGAAGCCAGAAATTGGTTCACTTTTTTATTTGTCCTACGGTGCACAGCGTGATCTTCTCCTTTCATCTCAAACCACACATTTTCCTTAGGCTTTTTAATTGGTTGACATGCTGAAAAATACAATCCACTTGAAATGAATGAACACTATTATGCTTATTGGAACAACTGGGTGTCTGTTTTTATTTATTTCCTTCAATGTCCCTCTTGACTGCTGATGCATGCCTGTTTTCACACTTGATATGGTGATCACAGAGGCAAGAATGAATGGATTTTCAATTTCCTCAACTCAACAATAACCGAATACATCCTTAGCTTATTGCACTACATTACTTATTCCAACCTCATCAAAAACGCACAACATCTATACAAGCCAACAAAGCGAGGTAACAACAAATGCGAGATCAAGAATGTCTTTTCCTGGAATATTTCCGCATGAACACTCGACACTTTTTCTCTGTCTCCCCCAAGTTCGACTTCCACTCAATAATATTTTTTGTAGCCTTCAGCAATTGCTTCCATACGTATTCTTCCGAATGCCTTATTGACCACACATGAGTCCCATGAAACACACAAAAAATTCCTTTTTGAAAAGGAAAACACTTGCAAATTCTCACTTGGATACCTATTATGTATATAGCCATGTGCACTCTTGCATGACAACAAACGAAAAGATTCGACGATTCTACATCAAAAGATTTAAAACAAAAGCGTACACGGAAATGGAACACAAAGCCTATGATCGTGACTAAATCATATCACATACTTTTTGCTTGCGAACATTCAGATTTCTGAGATCAATGGTTGAAGTAGTATTGACTAGTGCTGATTCTTGAAAGCTCGCTGTTCGAAAATTGCTCACTCTGTCACAAAAAAAAGGAACAAGAAACGCTCAACGTTGCTGGTATAAGTATTCCAAAACCGGCGTTCCAGGAACAATTGCTTCAAATTGCAAAGAAAAAGTCGGCTAATAAGGAAATTCTTCAAATATGAGTCGACCACGCTAAAAAAATGTTGGTCGGAAAATGCTACAGGATGGCGAAAAGAAATCAGCCTGCTTCCAAGTGCAAATTTCGGTACATCTTAAAAAAAAGTCTAACTCAGTGAAAAATGTAATACAACTACATTGGGTGGCACCACATTCACAAATTTCAACGAAAGATGACCTTTAGTTAGCATCTGAAATAATAAAATAACTAACAATAGCAAAACTACTAAACTCAAGTAAAAAAAAAAGAAAGAAAGGAAGTCTCTCTAATAATTTCGGTACCAATACTAGATAGTTCTCGTGGACTCCAGCGCTTATGAGGTACGAGGAAGCCAAATTGGTACCATGTGGTCTTCAATGCTTTGTTTTGTTTCTTCTTCTTCTCCACGAGGGAAGACGACATGCATTATGTCAAGTCATTGCATCACCAGTCGTATTCATTGGTGGCATAAGCTGGCAAAGGTTGTTGATGATGTGGCTTCGTCTTGGGCATTGGACCCTTCAGCAGCTTCTCTTCAGACTCCACGAGTTCCTTTAGTGCATCATTGTAGGCCTGAAAAAAAACTCGTTGTAACATAAAATGTCAACCTTTTTCACGATTTGACGAAGTCCAAGATGAAAAAAAAAACAGAGCACATTTAAACAAACCCTGTCTAAAATTTATTGATCTGCTGTTGGTTTAAAAAATCGAAACGAGGAGCCTTGATCGCGCAAGAGAACTTGAATCATAAACAAGTGTACATACTTTATAAATAATAATGAATGAAGCCTTTAATATATTTATAGTTGAACCTCCCCATGTCAAAAATTAATAAAGTTCTTGGCTGAATTCCCTTGGAAAAAATTCACAAACTTCAACTTCAAAGGCTTTCCCCCTCAAACCTCCATGATTCAAATTTTCTGGAGACCTTTGGTCTATTCTTTTATTGACACAGGAAACAAATCAATAAAAATGTATCTTAATGAATTTTTTGAAAGGAAGTGAAAGATCAATTGGTGAAATGAATCCTTGCATCCAAGTGCAGCATTCTTTCAACTCATTCAAGATGCAATTCAAGTCCCAGAACATCATCAATCACAATTTCCTGCAATTCTTCTTTCTATCTCCCCCAAGCATCAAAAATGCTTGTTCCCCTCACTCAAAATTTTACCTGGCCCCTTATTGAAGTTGGACAGTATTGTATATATACACTGCATGAACAAGGTCTTTATTCCAACATTTTCAACTCACATGGAAGTTTTCCCGGATCCAGTCCAAATCGACCATGACATCAGGTGAGCGCAAGGACTTGCCCTTGTTGGTCAGGCCAAAAGCTGGATCCATAAAAGGGTTGGTTGAAGCAGTTGGAGATGGGAAAACGTCCTCAACGTCACTTCCAGAATCTGTGCCACCAGTTATTCCCATGTGGTAGTTGTAGCCTCCACTAAAGTCTCCACCGCCTCCACCCAAAAACGGATTGCTGGTACCTGGAATTTAAAAAAAAAATCACGCACAGTACAATTAAATAAACTGAGAAAATAAGTTGAAAAGTATCAGAAAACTTGATTGAAGACTTTTTATCAATCCCACACCAGTTTTTTGGAAATTCTGAGTCATAGAAACTTTAGTACATTGTACCAACAAAAAAACTTCACATCAAAGGTATTCAAGAGGCTTTTGAACCATCAATACATGGAAACTCTCTCATTAGAATCCCAAATCTGAAAAAAAAACTCAAAAGCACAGCACAAAAATGTATCCATTGTGATGGAGAGAATGCACTGAGAAAACCCCAGCAAAAGTTTTTCCTCCTCTAAATTTTGATTAGAAAGCAGTCTTCACACAACCTTCATTGTAAAGTTCAGCACTCTCTTTTCAATCCTTCTTCATCTTGAAATATTTTTCATTTGCACCATACTGTATTTGTGCACAAATTTGTTTTATTTACTTGTGTAATGTTTCCAGTTTTTCCTCGTGAATTGTGTCATTTCTTTGCCATCTAGTTATACAATAGATTTTTCTGGAAAAACAGTAGTCAGCAAGGTGCCCATTGAATACATGTTCTTGGCTGCCTAACTGCCCATGGTTCATTTTTCCACTGCGCCTTGATGAACTAATTCTTTGCTGGGTTCTGTTAATGCCCAACATCCATCAATAAACCAGGGAAGGGTTTCACTCACCCCCAACCCCCAAATTGGGTCCTGATCCATAGTTGACCTGGCTGTGCTGTTGCTGCTGCTCCGCAAGGTCTTGAATCTTGGAAGAAGAAAGCACTCTGGGCATTGGAGTAGCAGGAACTCCATGAGGTGCCAAATGAGACGCTTCAGCCACCTTATGAATGCAAAAACAAACAAAAAATCAAGAGTAAACAACAAGGATGCTTCACAAAATGACGAACTATAAACTCACAACTCTAGGGTCATCCACATGCGATAAATCAATCTGGAATTTTCCTTCCCTGAAGAAATGGATGAGCACAAAGGCAACCAACACCAGCAAGCAGAAGAATCCATAAGCCCGGAAAGTTGCTTGGCTCCCTATAAGATAAAATCCCCATTACAACAAATACCATCACAACCAATTTTTCAGTATGACGGAATTTTTCTCTAGTACTGACAAAAAGGCCATAGAGCAAAATTCAAAGCAATCTTGTTATGACAAACTTCCCAATTTCAGTATAACAAACTTTTTGAGGAATGCTTCAATAGATTCTCCAGGTAGAACTTTCCTGACTCAAGGCAAATTCATTCTGTGAATTTCTGATCCAAATGTGACTGATAGGATAGTGTAGCATGAATGAAAGATGTGATCAATGGAAAACATGCTTCCAATTGATTCATCCATACACATAATTCTCCCAGAATGAAGAGATTTGTGCAACTGATGGAATGCATAATTTATGTTGATTATATTTTAAGGTCACTCAGTTTTTCAAAAATAATGAAAAATCTGAAAATGCCAGAAAAGCAAGATCTAATTGATCATAGGCAGGTCTAATGTAATTTTTTTCAAACAAAATTTCATTAATTTTGAAAATCATGTCATTGAAGAATTATTCAGTAAAATAAACTTTTTATGAAGTCCCCAAAAGCTTGTTGTAAAATGATTCTGCTGCTGCAAATGTATATTTGAAAAATTATTAGCTCAAGAGGAATGATATCAAGAGTCCGAAATACAGTACAGTACAATATTTAAGAGAGGGAAATCGCACCAAAATATTGGACGAAACATCCTCCCAAAATGGCTCCGCAAGCTCTGCCAAACCCGTGATGCAGTCCTTGGAGGACGCCATTTGCATGCGGGCGCAAGTCCATGGGTGTCACATGGGCTATGTATGAGCAGCAAGCAGCCCACACTGCTGCATGCGTAATTCCTGAAAACACAACAAAACAATTAACCCCAATGACCTCGAACATTCTCATTTTCATAAAATCGAGACTCACCCTGCATGAATTCAAATGGCAGCACCCACCACGGGTTCCTCAGCCAGCTGATGTACAGAAACCTGATGACGTTCCCAATCAGACCCAAACACAAGACCTGAAAGGAAATTTGTTTCTCTCAATTACAGTATTTGTGCCGAAAGATCAGCGATTTAAACGCTGAACACAAACCTTCACATGCCCGATCTGCGTGATCAGCCTAAAGGAGAAAAAGTAGGCGAAGATTTCGGAAATGTGGTTGATGACTGAAGCGATACCGAAGAGCGTTGGAGTACCTCCGAAATCCTATAAAACAAAACAAAACATCAACATCAGTCGAATCTCATTATACTTTGTGGTAAAATTGAGAGAAATCCCTTATTCTTACCTGCAAATGCCAGAACAAAAACGTGAAAATGAGACCGATTCCGAAACCCATCAACCAGGCAACAAACAGAAAAGTCGCACATCTGGGAGACGCGAAATGACGAAAAACTGTCATCCATTCAGGCATTTGTCTCGGCAACTGCTGGGCGAACACTTTGCTCTGCAAAATTAAAAAAAAAATTTCGCAATCACTGACGACGAGTTCAAAACTCGACATCAATTTTAAATCAAACCTTTCCGAGATCAGCAGCTGGTCTCACGGGCTCCTGAACAGGATCTGGAACTGGATTGCCTTCCAAGGAAAATTTATATTCCGTTTGCACGTTATTTGCACCGGCTTGTCCATCCTTGTTCACGTCATCCAGCCTCAAGCTGTCGGGCACTTGCGTCTGGGGGAACCTGATATGAAAGAAATCAGCAATCAATTCCAAGTCACGAGCCAATTCACTCCAATAAACGATGCGAATTTTTTCACAAATATTTCAAACATAGCTGAGAGTAAGCAATGTTCAATTTTCATCGAGAAACAAAACGATTCTTCTTTCACAGATGGCAATTATATTGGATCTGAGTACCAAAATTTACTTCAATTTCAGTCTGGAAAGGATAAAAATTTACCCTCATCTCGTTCTACATGCGGGAAATGTTTGTAATTTTTCAGATGAAGTCTTTATTTCTGCTCACTTCGAAAGAAACTTCACAAATCATACATACGTTCACGCTTCAGTTCCGGAAATACGACGGTCCCAACTAATTTTCTCAAAATTGATATTGAAACTACGGCATGCGATTCAGCTGGAAAACAAGGATTGCTCAGAAAAAAAACATTCTTTGGCACAAGAAAAAATTCAGCCCTTCTTGACCTATTCTTCGGGAAATTTTTGCAGAATCACCCTGTGACCCCTTTCTTCTCTTCTTTCAAAATCTGAAGACATGGACACAATCCTTGGAATTAATGGCATGTTCAATTTCGAAAACTTCGCACAAAAAACTGGGCTGAACCTAAAAATCTGAAAAATGGGCGCCACATGTTTTGGGTGAAGAGCAGAAAGCTGCCAATAGACTTTTGTAAACCATTTCCAAAAAATGTATCAAAAAATGCCGACTTTTTCCTTGCGCCATAGAATGTTTTTTTCTTCTTCTGGACAATAATCTTTTTCAGCTAAATCATATGCCATTTAAATTTCTATCCCGACAACTTTTGTTAGACCCCTCGTGTATGTTGCTGCAGATTTTTGAAACAAGTCCCAGAGAACGAAAGAATTCCAAAGTACCTCGATTTCTAAATGTCAATTCAAGATCTCCTCTATCCCAAAATTCCATCTCACCTGAACTGAGTAGAAGTTATCCCGGCACAACCCATGAGCACAGAGAAAACAGCAAAGCAGATGGTGTAGTTTCTTTCCTTGCCTACTTGCGCTGTCCCTACGAGTCCCTTCAGGCACCTTACTAGGTTTCGCTATGGGTGCTTCTTGTAGCGTTATGGGGTTGGGTGTGACGGTTTGTAGGAGACGGTTGGTATCACAAGTCGTAGTAGTCCAAGAACTGCAAGCACTGAACTGTCAGCTAGGGTCAATGCTGGTGCCCCCAGGCCTTCTCCAATCAGGATCAGAAGCAGCAGCAGGAAAAACACCTGAATGAAACATTCCGATCATTAAATTTTTCGAAGAAAAAAAAAACACGCGTCCATGTGTGTTTTGAATATGCATCAGACCACATTTTAAATGACATTGAGGCCCCGAGATGTGGACGTAATTGGTTCTTGAACTGTCCCCATGTCGGATCACGTTTTTTACATAAGACTTAAATGGGATTACATTTCAATGATTCTTTCTGAAAAAAAAATTAGGAAAATTTTCCGCCTGAAAAATAGAATCACCAATTTTTTCTCAACATCAAGAGGCGGAAAATTTTTTTGCAGAAGGAAGCCACCCAGAATCAGCTCTTTTGACATGAAAAGGAGCCCAGCAAAAAGAAAAAACACTCGCACAAGCCTTGCTATACTGTGCACAGATGATAGAATAAAACTCTGAATAAAGAAGAACACAATTAGACTATTTTTGAGTATAATTTAGAGATTTAAATTAAAACTATACGACATGAAATAAAAATTAAAAACACGTATGTTTATATCATCGAGTTAAACAAAACCTTTTATTACGAAAGGTAAAAAGTTCTATAAAACCACAGGTTTACAGCCCCGTGATTTTTTCGAGCTTCAAGTGTCCCGACGTCGAATCGTCCGTATGTCGGGGCTTCACTGCATTTCTCGACAAAAGCTTTGACTAACTTAATATGTGAGGGATTTCTCGAAAGTCTTGCAATGCGTAAGATATTCCTGACGTGAGAAAAAGTTTGTTGTGTTGAAAAAATTTATTGTAATTAAATTTTTTTGGAGTACTGTAGCTCTTTGTTTTTCAAAAGCTTTTGTTTTTGGCCGCGCAACAGCAAAATCTTTTAAAATACATCAATAATGTGCAGATAAATTCTGAGCAACCATAAATTTAATTTTGATATGCTGTACTTTATTTTTAATTTTTGTGCATACAAATATAGTAGCTCAATTTGTTTTGGAAAATAATGCTTTCCATTTTTCAAGATATTTTGGTGTCCAAATGTCGGGGCACCACTGCATTTCTCGACAAAAGCTTTGACTAACTTAATATGTGAGGGATTTCTCGAAAGTCTTGCAATGCGTAAGATATTCCTGACGTGAGAAAAAGTTTGTTGTGTTGAAAAGATTTATTGTAATTAAATTTTTTTGGAGTACTGTAGCTCTTTGTTTTTCAAAAGCTTTTGTTTTTGGCCGCGCAACAGCAAAATCTTTTAAAATACATCAATAATGTGCAGATAAATTCTGAGCAACCTGATATTGGCAGAAAATGCATTACTAACCGATATATGCCAATAATAATTACCTTAATGAATAAATTAATCAACTTCACGCAAAAGCAATACTTTAAACAGAACACATAACTTACTACTCAAATTACATTGATGAAACGAAACTGTCCAAACTTGCCCATGAATAACCCAACAGAATGACACTAAGACAGAAAAACGAAGGACAGAACCAGCACTTTCTCGAGAAAAAAAAAGAAAACACAAAGAAAAGGTCATCATCAGCTGACCTTTTGCACATCCTTGGAAGTGTAAACAAGGTTGCTGTTCGGCGGGGAAAACCAGGTCTCGTGGTCCTTTTCTTTATAGTTGACAACAAACTCGACTTGCAAGGGTGACGTTCCGATCACGTGTCCCACTCCTGGCTTTTTTGCTTCCCTCTTCATCCTCATTGATTCCACGTTCCCGAGGTCATCATTATTATCATTACCAGGATCTTCGTCATCAGTCAGCAAGTCCGAATATTTTCGCACGTACTCGTCGGCAGGCAAAAAGTCTCCTTCGAAATTCAACGACCCGCTCAGCGCATTCGTGAATGTTCTTCCTGCAGAAATCAGCAGAAATATTGAGCATCAGCAGTGATCTCGTGAATAATCTAACATACGAATTCTCAAAACTTCTACGCGTGACCGTCAATTAATGCTCGATCTTCTATATAAATGCAGATGTGACCTAGTGAAACATCTCAACCCAGTTGACTAGGTTTTTTACCCTCTTTGAAATTTAAAAAGTAACCAAGCACCATTTGAAATATTTTACGTGAGCCTCTAAGCAGTTTTTCGAAAATTTCTCCTGCGTTTTTTATTTCTTGACAGATGAACTCTTGATAACAAAATCTGCACGTGCCGAATTTTGCAAGAAATCCTTCAAACCGCAGCTCATTCTTTCGTTTATCATTTTCCTTCATCCGGAAATGGGAATGTGAACAGATTTTGGATACGTGAGCCAAAAACAAAGAGCTACTTCAAAAAATTCCATTACAAAAATTTGTTCAGCACAACAAACTTTTTCTCGCGACACAAACATCTTATACGGATTGGCAAGACTTTCGAGAAATCCCTCTCATATTAAGTTTGTCAGAGCAAAACAATACGCATACGTTACTCCAATTTTCAGGCATAACAATTTTTTTTTCGGACATCCAACGCTTTGGCAAGACTTTCGATAAATCCCTCTCAGATTCAATTCGCCAGAAGAAAAAAGAAACCAATACGTATACGTTATTTTAATTTGCAACAATAACGATTTTTGTTGACAGTATCCCACGCATTCGCAAGACTTCCGATAACTCCCTAGCTCAAAATAATAAATTTGTCACAGAAAACAAACAAACAATTCGAAATTCAACGACCCGCTCAGCGCATTCGTGAATGTTCTTCCTGCAGAAATCAGCAGAAATATTGAGCATCAGCAGTGATCTCGTGAATAATCTAACATACGAATTCTCAAAACTTCTACGCGTAACCGTCAATTAATGCTCGATCTTCTATATAAATGCAGATGTGACCTAGTGAAACATCTCAACCCACTTGACTAGGTTTTTTACGCGTTGTTTTTTTGAAATATTGTACGTGAGTCTCTAAGCAGTATTTCGAAAATTTCTCCTGCGTTTTTCATTTCTTGACAGATGAACTCTTGATTACAAAAACAGCACGTGCTGAATTTTGCAAGAAATCCTTCAAACCGCAGCTCATTCTTTCGTTTATCAATTTCCTTCATCCGGAAATGGGAATGTGAACAGATTATGGATACGTGAGCCAAAAACAAAGAGCTACTTCAAAAAATTCCATTACAAAAATTTTTTCAGCACAACAAACTTTTTCTCGCGACACAAATATCTTATACGGATTGGCAAGACTTTCGATAAATCCCTCTCAGATTCAATTCGCCAGAAGAAAAAAGAAAACAATACGTATACGTTATTTTAATTTGCAACAATAACGATTTTTGTTGACAGTATCCCACGCATTCGCAAGACTTCCGATAACTCCCTAGCTCAAAATAATAAATTTGTCACAGAAAACAAACAAACAAAAACAAACCCGCGTCGTCATTGTTGCTGCGACGCTTCATCCGTCTCATGCCCATGGATGACGATCCCCTGACGATGACCGGATGTGAGTTGCCAAAGCCGTCGATCCAGGACACGACGGGTCCGGTGTCGCGTTTCTCCCGCACTTCCACGGGTTCGATGTCCTCGCCGTCTTCTTCTTCCCGGTCTCGTCCTCGGGACTCGTAATCCCGTTCGTTGATGGTCTCGTCCGGAACTTCCAGCAAGTAGTGAGTGCCGTTGTGCTTGAGACAACCCACGGCAGGGGACTGCACAAAGTTCAGGGCCATGGTGAAGATGATGAAGCAGACCAGGGACCCGATCATGATCATCTTGCTCTTGTTTTGTCTGCATTTGATAAATGTGGAAAGGAAAACATTACAATGATGATGATAACATTATTGTACAGCAATTGAGCCTCCATAATATAGCTCGAACCTCCCGCCGGAGTCGAATTTTTTGAAGTCTCCGTCCGAATTCCCTTGTAAGAACATTGGACATATATAAAACCTATCTTTATACCCTCTGTATATAAATAAATCTGGGACAAATTAGACCAAAAGCGCATCAAAGCTGATGTTCTATCCCAATTTATCACAAGGTCTCAGGGTCAGCGAAACCAAGTGTCAGAAAAAAAAGGTTACTTTAACCTGATTCAATGATTGCCCCGAAATCGTCAGTGGTTTAAAAGTTGCACGGAATTCAAGTCCAACAAAAGTCTACTCAAAAGACTGAAACGATTCGCATTTGCGAAATGATCCATAAAAAAGGACCACTTTTCAAATTCGAATTGTTTCTTTTGTGGATGAGCAGAACTGAGAAATGCGTTCATAAAACGAGGAGAAAAGCGCGAAAGACAGAAAGGATAATCTCTGTCGCAATCCTAAATGCAATTATTCAAAAATTGGCATGATTTTTCCGACCAGCGAGCGGAAATCAGAGTTTTGTCACGAGTCAACAAATTTCACGTTGAATGCATCCAATAAAAGAGACTGATTAGCCGTAATAGACCTCAAATGAACATTTCCAGTCAAATAATATAATAGAACCTGCAGTGCTATTGTGAGACTTGTCACACGATTCTCGACAATTGAGAATGCAGTGACATCTACGCACGCCCGATTAACTCCTCAACGCAACGAACCCTTTCGTCAAACAGGTGACGCAGTTTACATGCGCCGAACTTCTACGGAAACCCCCAAGACATCAATGTAATCAAAACACCTTCACACTGTTCCTCTCCCACTGTTTCTCTAAATTCGCGTTATTCTAAATTCCGGAAGGCTTCGTCCCAAACAAAAATAAATAAATAAAACAATGCCGCCAGTTCGGGACGATGTGGAAAACATCGGACTCATAATGGCGGCGGCCACGGAAACGCCGTCGGTCGAACCTCAATCAGAGTCGCCGACCCGTAAAATCTGGTTCAACGACCTCGAAATCAATGCTGCTCATTCGGAAATTCTCACTTTCCCCGCTGCAAGGAAACCCCAGTCGACGATGTCGCACAACGCTCACTTCACCAAAAATCCCAACACTGGTGACAAGAAATCAAGGAAACATTCGGAAGGTAAAAGAAATAAATCGTGATGGACGAAGTTTTCCGAAAGCATCACAAAGAAGAGCAATTGGGTGGGGAGGGGGTTTGGATGTGTCTTGTGAACGCTGAAAAGCGGCAAATAAAGTGTTCTGTTCATTCATTCAAGAAGAGCGAGGTGAAAATTGAGCAGACAAGATTTGAGTCCCATTCCAAATTTCCAGCAGCATGGAAAAGGAGCTGCATTCACAACTTATTTTTGAGAATAAACCTCGTTCATTTTGAGCATTTGACAATTCTCTTCTCTGACGCGTTCCAGATAATAATCTACTTTTGCAAAATGTTTCACATCAATTAAATAAATTCCGAACGAAGTCCTGTACAGTCAAACCTCTCCAAGTCGAACTTCAACGAACCAGCACAAAAATCGAGTTTGGGAAACAGCTTTATTTTTTGCTGGATATTTAAACGCAAAAAAATACAGGAATTTTAAATAGGTGATATTCAGGGCCTTTGATCAATTAATTGAGAGGATGCTGAACTCGGATGAGGCAAGGGTTCATCTGCCCATTTAGTCTCTTACTCTCTTTCACAATAGTCAAGTTAAGTTTTTTTACTGCTTTTCTCTTTCCTGAGTCAATAAAATACTGTACTGTAATAGCCAAAAGGTTTCGCGAAAATTCCAGTAATGAAGCTTTTTAAACCAGGGGAATTAAAAAAAATTTGACTTAGGGAAGTTCGATGAGTTATCGAGGTTAAACTATACAACATATACAGGCATCATCAGACAATCGCAATTTCACATTTTCTTCAATTGAATTTTTCGGCGAAGACTCCGACTCGGACAACTTCAAAACAGCAGACGACGACGACGACGAAAATGAAGCTTCCTCCTCTTCCTCAACCACGACAGTGGGGATTACAAGAAGCACATCCACGCAAGAATCAGCCAGGTGGAACAACGAACCCGATCCCTTGGCGAGACTGCAAAAAACCCGCAAGCACTGCAAACACCTCAAGCAGCAACTCCAGGCAGCCCAAGCAGAACTGGCCACAGTTCGTGACGAACAAGGCTGGGCGAATGACCTCGAAACTGAACTCCAGGGTCTGGAATGGAAACTAAAGCTGATGGAGAAGATGAACTCGAACGTGTCTGCGGAGAATAAGCTCCTCAAGCTCAAGGTCCACCAAGACAGTAATAATAAGGCGTCTGAGACGCACATCATTGGATCCGACATCAGGGCTATTCAAGAGCAGCTCAAACTCAAGTTTAAGCTCATGGGCAAGTTGGAAACCCTGAGCAAAATGAAAGATGTCCACAAAAGGATGCACCAGGAAAATGTTGAAATCAGGCAACGATTTCAGGCACTGACGCAAAAGGCCAATGAACTCGCAAAACTGTAAGCTTCACCCCTTATTTCCACTGTACACCTTTTCAGCTAGCTGCCAATCTATTTTGAAAAAAAAAATCCCCTAGTGAGAATAACACTGGAAACCCAGTTGAAAAGTCATCCGCCAAAATTGTTTCCTAAAATATACTCCTGCCAACTAGTTTCACGTTTTCGTGAGAAGCGTTCAATTGAAAAGAAATCATCAATGGAAAAAATTGAATTCTTTGGAGCATTGGACAGATATAATTTATGTATCCCAAGGTTAGTTTGATTCTTTACTTAAAAAAAAAAAACAAACTTTATTTCATATTATGCTTGATATTCAAATTATTTTGGTTTTTTGATAAAAACAGCAACTTCATTAAACTGACACAAAACCTCACAGACAAATTGTGTCAAGGTTTGACTGCTGAAACAAAGACAAAAAAAAAAACTGCCAGAATTTAGTAATAGAAAACCCCTTCCACCAGTGACCAAAAACTGAACAACAAGCTGTTCATTTTGGAATTTTTTCATAATCATTTTGAGAAACTTCAATGAGAATTTTGATGGACACATTTTTACAACTCATAAAATACACTTATCTGTCTCATGAAACTTGTCTTCAGGTACAAGCAACAGAAACAAAAAGTAGCAAATCTAGAGAATCTTGTGAAGCAGGATCCTGGAACACAAACCCAACTTGAAGAACAAGTCAGCAACCTTCACTTGAAATTGGCACACGTGGAGCAGGAAATGGGAAAATTGAAGGAGATGGAAATGCAAGATTCACCACAGGAATCTGAGCACCACAGAGGCAAACGTGAAGTCTGCACCTGCACAGATCCAGGAACTCCAATTCTTTCACAACCACCGCATGTTAGAATTATATTTTTACGCTACAGTAAAATCTTGCTACAGTGAACCTATTTTTATAACAAAAACAGGTGGACTCTCCCTACAACGATTCTGTCAGTGCTGTGAAACAAATTTTTATTTTGGTTCGATCAAGTTCTCTTCCCATGTTATTGGGGTTCTCCACAAAAAACCTGGTCCCTTGAATTTCATTGTAGAAAGTCAGCTTGCACAAATTTTTTTTTCAAGTCCCTGCACAAAAGACACAATGTTGAATGAGTTACTTTGAACAAAATGTTCATTACAACAAAGCCATTTTACTGCCCCAATGGAAATCATGTGACGCAAGTTTACTGTGAAAAATAATACTAATAATACATTTTTTCAACCTTTTCAAGATGGAGCAGTATTTTCTTTGATGGAGATTTGTCCCATAATGAAAGATGTTTTCAATTTTTAAAATGATCTTTCATATTAAATTCAAAGTTTTTTTTTACATTTTGCTCACTTGATATGAAAAGAAAAATGGCAGAGAAGAAAAAGTAGCTTATCAACCAAACTTTCACAATTCATGAATTTACAAGCTTTCTGAAATCATGTACATGTGGACTCTACAACAAAATTTAGGAGAACAGAAAAAATTCATCGCAGAGAGAATTTTTTGCAGATAATCCTATGGGACCAATGAAATTTTTATACTGTGAAGATTGTTGAAGACAAGATGATTGTGTATTTCAATTAATCCAGTTTTTAGTGGCCACATCCTAAAGAAAAAAAAATCGAGCTCGTTGATGCCAATTTTTTGCGTTGATGAAAAAAAATCATTTTTGCAGGATTTAGCAGAGATGAAGGCCATGCTAACAGACCAACTCGAGAAATTGTCAGAGGCGAAAACGCAGGCCTTGGAACTGGAACTCTTGAAAGCCAGGCAAAGGATTTCAAGAGAAAAAGAGCACAGGGCATCACTGATTGATAAATTGCAACACTTTCGCGAAAAAATGCAGACTCTGAACCAAGCTGAGGCGAAAATCGATCAGCAACGTCATGAAATCCATCGACTGAGCAAAAAGCTGCAGGAATATCAACACGAAAATCGTCACCTCGGGCAATCTCTCAAGGAAGCCGATGGTTCGTTCAAACATGGTTTTTCAGCATGAAAATCATCTTCGAACTCATTCAGTATGATTTCAGAATTGATTTCGAGTCTCAAAGAAACGAATTGCAGACAAGCAGATGAAATTCAAGAATTGAAAAGGTCTCGGCTAATGAAGGAAACCGTAATCAGCACCAAGGACTCAACAACAGAAACTTTTCACACCGCCGAAAGCCAAAGCGATCAAAAGGATCAAATTGAGAGTCTAATCTCAACCGTCAAACAAGAAATATCCTCACTCAAGGCCCAGGAGCCAAAAAATACCTCGTTCTCGGAATTCACTCAACTGTCGGAGTTTGTCAAAATCTGGAAATCATTAAAAGACCTCGTCATCAGCGATTCTGGCTCTGATTCGCTCAAAAAAGAAGCAGTCGCAAAACTTTTCGCAGAGAATCTCAAACTCAAAAACGCGTTGATCTCACATCAACGAGAAAAGGCCTCTGACACTCTGGACAAAGAAAAGGCTTGGTTTAAGCAGCAAATGGACGAACTCGCCGCTAAAGTTCAGCTAGTTGCCAATCTTCCAGATATAACCAGGCGAGTTTTGTCAAAACAAACATATACAAGATTGCAAGAAAAAAGATATCCGCAAAAAAAAGAAGAGTTTCGTGCGAAATCCTGCTCTAACCGTTTCTTTAAGGGCATCGATGTGTCTCCTGAAAGTTACGACGTCGGAAGAAATCTAAATCTTGAAAACGGATTCTAACGATCCTTCAAGAAATTATTTGCATCAAATTAATTACGACTGTGGCCTCCGTTAATTCCCTGCGTAAGCATTTTGTAAGACTTTTGGATAACAGAGTTGGCGGCGATAAAAATTCAAAATAGCGGAACAATTTATTGCTGATCAACAGCAATTTCAATTTTATCTCCAATACTTAAAATATGCATGCATAACTCGTCAATTTTGTTTGTTAGCATGAAACGATCAGAGGCTGGACAAACTACGGATGTAATCACGAGACATACAAGCATAGAAACCGGTATTCAAGTCAACGTTTCCAGAACGGAAAGTCAGATTTTGCCTGAAAAAACCAGAAATGTTTCAATTGGACCGTCAGACGATTTATGCGAGGGTTTCGTACATCGCAGAGAAGAACTTCAAATTTTCCCTCACATTTATACAAAATCCGTATTCGAATCAACGAAGCAAATCATCGACTCAAATCAATCGACTTCTTTCGAACCGAACTTCGAAATATCCGTGGGAAAATTGCAACAGTCGACTCAAAGCGCGATTGATTCAAATACAACACTGCCGGTTTCTTTGAGGGTGAGTTTCTTGAGTCGAGAACAATTTGAGGCTGTCTTCTGATGAACTTATCAATTGCTCTTCTGCAGAATAGTACTTGATTGATGTTTAACGACCTCAGAACAAATTTTTTTTATTAAGGCCTGTGACAACAATACTGACGCAGAGCTGAAAGTACAAAAAAGTACTTGCAAGCCCCCTGGTTTCTTTTGCAACCGAGGCTGCAGCTTTCCGGGCTGCAGAAATCGCATGGTACGAAAAATCAACTCTGATCAACACGCTCCGAAGGATCCTGAGTAAGGACGATTTTTAAAGCAAATGAATTCATGAAATACCGCACCGTATTACAACCTTTTATTTTAACAGGATACATGAGTTCTCGAAAGCTAAAGCGCGATCGTATTTCTACCACGAGATGCGCAGAGTTACGCCAGATGCGGAGATTCTTCAGGCGTTGGGCAAAGCTGGTTTCGGCCTGGAACCATTACCGAATCAGGTTTCGCACCTCGAACCAACATCCGTCGCTTGATTGCCAGTTACGATCCATTCAACTTAAAGCGTTATAGGATGTACCACGTTTAAGGCTAGCGAATACCCGGGGAAGTGTATACTCGAAAAGATCCCTCCTTTCTTTCGTTTGACAATTTTTGCGCTGAATTCTTTTTTTGTGTTATTTACAAACTTTACAATATTTGGAAATACAGTCGAGACGATTCGGTCAGTACAGCTGCACTAACCTTTCCGCCACGCCGACCCAGAACGGAACGGCAATGTATTCCACCAAGGGGCGCAGTCCAGACAAGAGACCGCACTGGACAGGGTTCAACCCAAGTTGCTTGAAGTACACGCCCATAAGTGGGAATAACGACCCAAAAGCGGAGAAAAAGAAGAAGTAAAATGTCTTGGCCATGAGCAACTCCTGGCTCATATTTCCGAACAGCATCTCGATTATGTCCGTTCGACCACGGACTTTCTTTGTGCTGTCTTTCGCTTCAGGGTACAGATTTAGGTCCACGTCACCAGCTGCATTAGGGTCCACACGAGGCCGCAGACCTGGAATAGGTTGGGCTGCCATGCCTTGTTGTGGCGCACCGTAGTCCTCTTGAGCGTAGGGACTACTGCCGTACATGTTCTCATTTACCAGCATGGACATCGCTACGCTTCCGGCTGACACCAGTAACAACGTACTTCGCGCACTCGAAGGGAAAGTTTAGGTGAAGGGTCTGCAAAGAACCCGGTAAACGAGATTTAGTATATGAGATACCAACGAATCAGCCAATATAAAGGTGTGCAGCATGCGAATACGACCACTTCTACATGTTCATTGTCCAATGTGATTCATGCAAGTAATTTAAAAGCTGGGATAATGACGTTCACAGAAATCCAGAAGCTGATCAGTTATGTAGTGCTGTGCCCATGCAGTCTGAACATGGTTTGTGTGAGCAGAGTTTCGATACGAATTGGTTACGAAGAGTCTTCAAGTGTGCTTAAATTTCGTGTACTTGTACGGTTTTCCTCTACTCGTATTTGTATCGTTGACGAGAACAACCCGTCGTTCATCCTTATACAACCTTTCATGACTTCGAATGTCGACAGTCGCCTCGGACGACGTCGTCGGAACTGAGACGCCATCTCAAAGGGTCCCGACACCTTTTGCATACCGGACTCTCGCGGTCTACCGTACTGAGCAAACAGTGAATAGGTATTCACAACACTGTCCAACCCTGTGTGTGCTTCTGAAGTAAATCTTTCTTTCATGAACTCTGTGTCCTGTGTGTGCGTGTTCGTGTGTCTGTCAAATTGTTGTGATATGATGCTGAGCGTGCGTGGAAGGGCCTTTGTGATGGAGGGGAGGGACATTTCACTGAACAGCCCGACGCTCGGTGGGAGTCCATGCGTGTGGCGAGCTCAAAGCTGTTCTATTGGGTCATGTGTTCCGTGTTGTTATGGGGGAGTTGGTGTCTGAGGGTCCAGCCACCAGCTCCGTTAGGATGCGAAGTTCGGATTGAGATGGAGTGGTAAACATATTCCTGTTGCAACAAGGATATCTTCCAAGTTGTTTCGTGAGTGTTCAGAAATCGATTCGGGGAATATTTGTGGACGTTCGCGAGCGAGTGAATTGGGACGTTGAACTATTCATACGTACCCGAAGTGTAGCACTGTAGTATCAATGAACAGATTGAAGTGCTGAATATGCAATTCCAGGCTTGATTAAAGTTTAGATCGCGTGAGAGGAATTCGCGCGTTCGAGCGCGGAGTCGATATTTATGCATGGATTCTGAAGACGAATTCGTGATGAACGACTCTGGGAATGAATCCGACGATTCCGACTCCGACGACGTGGAGTTGAGTCCTGAGGGAATGTTGGAACCTCGTCAAGATCGCATGGACATTGAAGATTCTTCATTTGAAGTGTTGTCTACCGAGCAAGTTGTGCAGTTTATGAACGACAACATAGCTGATGTTACCTCCGTCGTTGAGGTGAGTATGCGTCTCGTAAACGGACATTTTCGGAGTGTGACCACTGCGTTTGGTGCAGATTCCAAAAACTATTACGAGGATCCTCCTGCAACATCTCAACTGGGACAAAGAGAAGCTAATGGAGAAATACTTTGACGGAGATCAGGAGAAACTGTTCAGGGAGGCTCATGTGATAAATCCGTTTCGGAAAACCAGGTTACTTCCTGACGTGAGTTTAAATCTTGAACGCATTGTGTTCAAAGATTTCGTAGCAGTATTCTGTCCTTTCAGAGGGGGAATGGTAAAGAGAAGTGCGAAATCTGCATGGAAGATACTCCCTCGTCGGCGATGACCGGGATTGAATGCGGGCATAGGTTTTGCTCGAAGTGCTGGGTTGTTTACCTCACTGCTAAAATTACGGAAGACGGAGTCGGAGCCAGCATTTCTTGCGCTGGACATGCGTGTGACATTCTGGTGGATGATGAGACCGTGATGCGATTGCTAGGGGACCCAAAGGTTAAAATCAAGTACCAGCACTTGATCACCAATAGTTTTGTGGAGGTGAAGTAATTCATTTCCCCTTGCAATTTTTTTTCGTGATGGAACTCTTTTAAAAGTATTTGAAAATCGTAATTACATGGCTAGTCGTGAGACTAATTCCGTCATGATCTCAAAAGATGAGATGCCGAAGTTGAACAATTTTTCTTGCATATAGTGCAATCGTTTGCTGCGTTGGTGTCCAAAACCCGAATGCAACTACTGCATAAAGTCATCGACGTACGAGTCGCAGCTCGTCAAGTGCCGTTGTGGACAAATGTTTTGCTTCCTCTGCTGCCAAGACTGGCACGAACCCGTCAATTGTGCCTTGTTGAAAAAGTGGAAGAAAAAATGCGACGATGACTCGGAAACGTCCAATTGGATTGCGGCGAATACCAAGGAATGCCCAAAATGTGCTGTGAGTTCGCCATTTTTTGCATTCGAGTAATAAATGGATGGTTTATAATGTCCTAATTCGGGAAAGTAGATTCGTGCACTAGGAAAACCTTGCGTTTTAAATGCTCACGTCATATTCTTTCGACTGTTCCTGCAGGCAACTATTGAGAAGGACGGCGGTTGCAATCACATGGTGTGCAAGAAAACGAGCTGTCGGCATGAGTTTTGTTGGGTGTGTCTCGGCCCCTGGGAACCGCATGGAGCATCTTGGTACAATTGCAATCGTTTCAACGAGGATTCTGCCAAAGCTGCTCGAACCCAACAAGAAACTTCGCGCGGAGCCTTGCAACGTTATTTGTTCTATTATTCTCGCTACTCGAATCACACTACGTCTTTGAGATTCGAGACGAAGCTGCACTCGGCAGTCAAGGACAAGATGGAAGAGATGCAGCAACACGGAATGTCGTGGATCGAGGTCCAATTTCTCAGAAAGGCCGTCGACATTTTGTGTCAGTGCCGACAGACGCTCATGTATACTTACGTGTTCGCGTTTTATTTACAGAAGACGAACCAGTCCGTCATTTTCGAGGTATGTTGTTTTCTTACTCCGTTCTTACGACAATAGAGTACAAGTTCGTTACAACGAATCTCGTTATAACAAATTTTTCGTTTTATCGAATTTTTTCTTGGTCCCGGAAGGATCTTCATAAAGACAATGATGTAAAAATTTTGTTATAGCGAAGTAATTTTCCTCAATGATTTCAGTAAAATAAGTTTTCTTATTTTTGCACTGGCCAGACATTCTTAAGAAGTGGCACAATAATGGGAAACCGAACATGTGCATAATCGAAAAACCTTGGAAAAATCTGCTGTGAATGAAAATATTTTTGTACAAAAAATTTAGTATGGCTGAAAGTTTCAAAATTAATCAAGTACTCAATTAATTAATCAACATTTATTCAGCTACTGTATATTTAAAAATTTAGAAATAGCCAATAAAAAAAAAATAAAAGTACCAGTATGTTTGGAAGGAGACTTCTATTTCGGTGAAGATACCGTTCTTATAACGAATGAATGCCCTTCCTACGCATGCACAATTCTCTTTGTTTCAGCTTTAGATCGGTGAATTTGTCATTAAAAAAAATTGCAATGGGATGGTCTAGACTCTAGAGGAAGATAATTTTGTTCCACATTTTGAATTTTCTCTTATTATTTTATCAAAAGAATTCAGTAATGCTGGATATTTTTCATAAAATTTTTGTGGAAGACTTTGAAGCATCTATTATCTGTATCCCAACAAAATTTCAGTTCTACCTGCTCAAAGAACCATGAATCTCATGACAGATTTCTTCCGTCAACTTTTTTCATAGGCCCCGGGAAATTTTTTGTAACGAGAATTTACTGTATATTCAATTTTCAGCACAATCAGAAGGATTTGGAAAACGCGACTGAAGAACTCTCTGCTTACCTGGAAAGGGATATTGCGAAAGAGAACCTGACGGAAATCAAACAAAACGTTCAGGATAAATCCAGGTTCGTGAATCAATTTTTTTCAACAGTTTTCGTAACTTTTTTCGTGGTTATAAACCGCTCTTCGTTATTATAAGATTCAAAATATTCTTGTATGACGCACTTGAGCAGCTTTTGGGTTCATGTCAATATATGTCGAACGTTTATCTTAAATTAATCTCTCACAACCAGAATTATACTCGGAATGTAGACAAATTGCTTCGTTATTAGTTAGGTGACAGAAAAGTTGAATTTGTATTTTATAACCCAAGGTATTGCGACGGGAGACGAGCAGTGTTGGTGAACCACGTGTACGAAGGCTATGACAAGGACTGGTGGATGTATACGGATTGAAAAGGATTAGTGTTCAGTGCGGAACTATCTGCTGAGAACGTTTCCCCGTGGGAAAGAGTGAAACAGAGTTTTTGTTTTCTTGAATGAATCAGTGATTCACTTATGATTAGCAATCGGTTGATTTTAAAGATTATTCGATGGGGAGTTTCGTGGTATACAGCAGCACCTTAGCTTCTGAGTATCGTGGTTGACGCCTTATGATGAACGCCTTTTGTGCGTTCACCTAAATTTTTGACAGCCTGTAATGATTCATGAAATAGCTGATTAAAAGTGGTGAGAAAGAAGTGTATCAGGTTTTCATTTCAATCCTCTCATTTTAATATAATGAACAAGTCGTCATGTTTATGAATGGGGCTACAAGGGAGGAAAAAACAAAAACCCTGAAGTAGGCTGTGAAATCCGAATAAGTGGCCTGTATTGCGTGAGGTTGATTGCGGACAGATAATTTTCTCTAGTTGGAGTCATGTGAGAGAAAATGTGAGGGAAAGCGGATTCTGTGAGTTATGGCGTTACCAAGTTTTTTTTTCGAATTCTCGGTTTTTGAATACGTGTTGGTTTTGTTTTTGCATGCGTGAAATTGTTGAATTATTGATTGGTGGAGGGTCCGTTTTTTCCCCGAATTCATTTTCGTCTTCAACTGCATCCTTGAAGGAATATTTCAGTGCAAAAATACTATGGGAGTAAGTGCGGTTTTTTATGGAAATTGAGAAAGCAAACGCGATCTGATGGAAACATCTGCGTTGTTGTTTTGTGAGGCGTGGGAATTTCATCGTGTACTGATACTTTTCTGTTCTTGTCGCGCGTCCTTTTTTTTTTAATTTTGACCCCAGTGAATGACTCGCAAATTTTCCTGGGTTCTTTTGTCCGAATCCCATTTTTAAGGCCTTTTTTAGTGCTAGTGGAAGAGGAAAAATAAAATAAATTTTGGACGGAAATCCGATTAGCATTGAATGTCTGTATGCCGGATTTTGAGTGACGTTTTTGCGATTTTACAGATGACATGCTTTTGCAAGATTCGAAGCAATCGTGACGAAGAAGTGTTGGTATGTTCCTTCGAAGTGGATGTTGAAAATTATTGATGGCCTTTTTATTCCGCAGATTTCTAGGGAAGTTCTTCGGGCGGCTTTGAAATCTGGCTGCGTGGGGAATTTCCAAGAGACTATTCTGAAGTATTTCGTGGATTCTCTGCCGAAGATTCCGAGCTTTTCTGTGTCCCCGCCGTGGTTCTGTGGTGGATTTTCAGCCGATACATGGGCTTTTAATGCTTTTCTTTTAACTTTTTACGGATTCAGTTCCTGGAGAAGGCGGAAGAAGCTCTTGAAAATTTGTTCCGTCCTGGATGCGTTTGTTGTGGCGGTTTTCAAATCCTTGAGAATAATTGGATTGCAAAACATCGCTCGCCGTGGATTGATTCCGTGAGTGAATTTTCCGAAGATTTACAAAAATTTCCAAAAAATTTACGTCTGGAGAAATGCCATCATCTCTTAAATTATTTTTAAATGGGATGGAGGTCCTTCCCCCATGTTCAAATTACCCAAGAAGTAAAGCATTGAGAGTCACGAGCCATTATTGATGGTGTTATGGAAAAAATGAAAATTTGAAACACTAGCCTTAATCGAATGTTCTCTGATTCATGTTCCTTTTTCTTGGAAATAAGGTCATATTTTACAAACCGTAAATTTCCAGGGCACCTTGTTCAATCTCAAGGAACAAACTCCCGCCGAGAGTGCGCATGGCTGTGATGGAAGTGAATTCTCTGTTGTTGGAGGCGTTTAAGAGAATGACTGAAGAATGCATGATTCCCGATGAATTCCAAATATCTTCGACGTTGAGCACAGAAATCATGATTGATTCGACAGACCTTGAAGTTATAGAAGTGCTTCTACTGTCTTGTGGAAATTTCGTGACGAATGTGGCTTTGCGATCATTTCCGTCGTTTCGGGTAAATTTTCAGAGTTTCTATGGAGATTTAGTGAAAGATATCGAAGAGAAGGTTGATGGTTTACGTGATGAAATCGTTGAGCACATGTCTGAAGAGCATGAGAAGTTTCTAAGCGGTTGTCGCAGCTCGGCGAATGGCACGGATGAGAAGATCTTGTGGAATTGCATTGCAGATTTCGGGTGTCAGAAAAACTTGTGCTACAGAGAGTTTGAAAAGGTTGAAGCGTTGAACAAGGATATTGTGATTTCTGCCGTTGCTGCAATTTCAAATTTGGAAGAAGACCTGAGACCTCGACATGAAAGTATTTTCAGTGATCCCGGAATTTCAGATGTTTCTGGTGGTGAACGTCAAAAAATGCATTGTGAAGGATCGAAATCTAGGAAGATCTTGACACTAGGAAGAAATGAGGTTTACGAGTATGTTCTGCGAAGTGATCAGGAAGAAAAGGATGTCCTCAAGAGCTCTGTTCCTGATTCTTCGGTTGACAAAACGATCTTTTGCGAAATTGCAGAGGAATTAAGGCCAAAATTGAATGCTCGCGCTGAACTGCTGAAGAATAGATTTTCGTCAGCTGCCAAGGTCAGAGCTGAAAGTTTAATTGGGAAATGAGTGCCTAATGTCAAATCCTTCCAATGATAGGGGGGGGGGGGTTCAAAATAATATTAAAAATGTTTATTTGTCAGAGTTGGAAGCATATTAGGGTATCCCCAATACAAGATTCTACCTGTATTGTAGAACTCCAACAATCCAGTTCGTATTTCAATCGATTTTGCTGGGAATTAAATGCCAAATCTAATGACATGCACTACATTAGGTAGTAGAGAGAATAGTTCTGGGAATGGAAATGTTTCTAGTATAAATTCTGAGATCACAGCGTTGGCTCTTCTTATTTAATTAAACCTATCAACCTTTTCATTTATGAAATGAATAACATTGAAGTTCAAGTGTCATATATTCGTTGTGGATGTAACCATGAATCAAGGGGAATTCACTTCATAACATGTGAATCAAAGTACAGTACCGTAACGTGAACATTTCTCATCTGAGGAGTCCTGACTTGGTGGGTATCCCTTATGTGGTACGTGAGGTACGGTAGTACGTTATGTAACCGGTACGCCTTTCAATGTTTTTGTTGCCACCTGACGCGAGAGACAGTGTTGCGAAGTTCTGCATTGTCTTCATCAAATGCTTCGAGATTGCATTGTTATTGGATCACGTTTGTTATGAGTGAATTTCCCGTTTTATTCTTGATTCGGTATTTTATTCAGGATGATGTGTTGTCTATTGGTATGAGACAGTTCTACTTTTTATTCTAGCTTATGCGGATTTGATCTTTCTTAGGTTGCCTTTGCTTTATACCGTACTCGAATGTGTTATGTAAACATGGCCAGTCGCCCGATCTCAACATTACGTTGCGCGCAAACATTACACGGCCACGAGAAAGACGTCACGTCATGTGCTTTCTATGACTCATCCATATTGGCGACGGGATCGAGGTACTGTATTGCAAAATGTTCGGTAATTTTTATGTCACTGTAATCGTAGCGGACCACGAATGTCGTCGTAGCGTTTTGTATTTTTAAAAATTTCGATAAGACATATCAATTTGCAAGAGATGAGGTCCGTTTCCTTCTGAATCACGTGAGAACGATTTCCCCTCTTCTAGTGACAAATCCATCCGGATCTGGAAGATATCCGGAACTGCCGAAGATGGAGAATCATTCGTTGAGGAATTGATCTCTCCCTTACGTGGTCATTCCTACTCGGTGAATTCCGTTTGCTTCGCGCCTCAAAGGGCTTTGTTAGCCACTGGTTCGACAGATGGAGTGGTCCTACTGTGGGACCCTAAACTTGGTGAAAGAGTTGGTCGATTGTACCACGAATCTGGGGCAGCCGTTCGATGCTGTTCGTTTTCCCCGAATGGAAACGTTCTAGTCTCAGCCGCTGACGATGGTACCTTGTGTCTGTGGAACGTGACCGAATGCATCTTAGTCAAGTAAGGCTCGTCTTCCTGTTCCTTGAAGCACGCATTTTGATTATCGTTATTCAGCTGTCATTATGTAATGCTTGACGTGATTTTTGTGAAAAAGATAGTTCGTTAATAGTTGAGAATGTTTCACGTTCCGAATAAACGTTCCAGATCAGGGTTGGAACTGTCCCACGTAAGAAAAACCTCGACTGAGAATCAGTATTTTAAAAACAGTCGTATCGGACTTAATAGGCTTAACTCTGCGGCTGTTTCTTCGTGGAAAGGCCTGAATTTCATGATTTGTATTTCTTTTGAGCATGCATTGTCCTTGTGTTCTCGCAGAAAGTTGACGCTTGACGATTCGGAAGCCAGCTGCGAAACAGTCTGTTTTTCTGAAGATGGCACAACCCTAATTGTTGGTACATCCACGGGTCGACTAATTGCTTTCAACGCTGATCCGCACAATGTTCATTCCATCGCTGTGTTCACAAAGAATGATGCTCATGATCTGGGCGTTACTTGCATTGCATTCCGGTCCCACAAGTCGATTATCGCGCGATTTGAACAGCTTCTAGCCAGTGGAGGCCACGATTGTATAGTTCGTTTGTGGGAACTCGTCGTTGATCCCTGGAAAGGTTCGTTAAAGATTCAAGCTCTGAACAAAGGATATAAGGGGCATTCTGGGACCGTCATGTGCCTTCAGTTCCATCCGTTGGAGAACTGGTTATTTTCTGGTGCTGGGGACAAAACTGTTCGTATTTGGGATCTGGTGAGAATATGTTTTACTTCTGCGTTTGTCGTGATCGAACAGAGAATGTGTGACCTAACTAAAAGTCGTTTTGTTTATTCGGGATGGACCCCTTTGAAGTGCTCATTTTCCCACTGAAATAAGACAGGTTTCCATAATTTAATTGGGCCCGACGCAGTCAAAAAAAATTTTCTTTCGCTCCTTCTGTCCGTTATCTTTTGGCAACGATAATGTATGTATGTTCAGAGCTTTTTGAGATATTCGCTGACTGTGGAATTTTTACAACCTCTGTTGGTCGCGCTTTTTGGGATCGATTTACTTTCTAGAAAAGCGTAGAATATGGGAGATGATGTGCATTTTTTCTGATGTCCTGGTTCATTTCTTTAAGGAAACCGGAACATGCCTCACGGTGTCTCAGGGCCACGATCGTTACGTGTCAACGTGTGCTGTATCTGCTGATGGTCGTTGGCTCGCCACTGGTTCCAACGATAAGACTGTCAAAATTTGGCGGCTTTTCTCTCAGTCGGAAATCGTTCTAGAAGCTGACCCATTCGAAGAAGGAAATCTGTGGTCAGTTCCAGGGGGAAGACTCGTGCTGCCGTTCTCGGCGTGGACCTTCGAGGACGTCATCAACTGGCTCGATGATCTCGGCTTGAAAAGTTATGCGAAAAACTTTGAAGACCGCAAAATCCAAGGAATCGATCTGGAAAGTTTGAACGGAAAGCGGCTGGAAGTAGAGTTTGGAATTGGTAAGAAAGAAAGAATTACGCGAAATTCTAATTGGCGATATTCTGCGTCTTGAATTGCTCCTTAAATCAGTTGACAGGATGTTGACCTGTTTTTTGTTTGCTTGCCGAATTTTCTTGAAGATGATGAAACGCACCGCGACAGAATTATGAGTGAACTTCAGAAGCTCCGCCGAACTTTGAAAACGTCGGAAAATAACTTGGTGAAGTGTCCAGTGGAGTTTTGCTGTCCGATCACACATAACTTGATGATCGATCCTGTTGTTGCCCGAGGTTTGACTTCTGTGCTTGAGGTCGTGAGACGCGTTTTAAATTTGTTTTGACCTTTTTTTCTTCTTTTCAGATGGATACACGTATGAGAAGTCTGCGATATTGGAATGGTTCTCCAAGAGCCACAAAAGTCCTTTAACGAACCAAATCATGGAATCCCTGGCATTAGTTCCTAATCTTACTCTCAAGGCAGTGATGAATCGTTACCAGAGATCAGGGTCGTAAATGTGTTCCGAGTGTCGCTCTAGTGTCGAAACTTTTCTGGTCAACACTGTGATTTCATTGTGCATTAATGTGATACCGACCGCAGCACGTGCACGTTATTTTACGGATCATATTTGAGGAACGTGTGTCTTGAAAATACCGTAATGTAGCGTCCAGTCAGTGATGTTTTTTTCCCCGATTCGAAATGTTTGAGAGAAAGAGAGAGATTATGCTGATTCATTTTTTGCAGACTCGGTGATACCATGCGAAATGTGATAAATATTCAGGATTTGACGCACGGCCAGCGTGTAAGGTTTATTTATAAGCGGATTCTGCAACTTCATCGAGCATTGCCGATTGAATTGAAGGTGAGATTTTTTGGGTGTATTGAAATGGCGAGCGAAAATGCTTGTCAGCAAATTTTAAGTCTAGAATGTGTTATTGTTTGACTTTTTCTCATGTCGGATGCACGCGCGTAACTCGATATTTATTCGAGGATTTTACTTTTTTATTGGCGTGGAACAGGCTATCGGAGACGAATATGTGAAGCAAGAATTTCGACTTCATAAGGCAGTGAACGAGCAAAATGCTAACATTTTCATGCGTGAATGGACAGTGAGTTTCGAGGAAGGGATTAACTTAATCCCGATTTATTGGTTTTATCGCGATTTAATTGATTTTTTCGCGAACTGCAGAGTTACGGAAACCAGTTGGCGAATGACGTGAGCCTGAAAGCCATCAAACAAGGAGCAAAGCTGGGGAGAAATCTGGAAAAAGAAGAAATCAATGCTTTCAGTGAGGATCAAGTAAACCAACTCGTGGAGCTCATGAAAGAAGCCCGTCAAGTGTACGGGTCATCCAATGAATCTGATGCAACATCCAGATGACGTTTGCCAAGATCACCTTTGTAGTCTAATTCAGGAAAAATACATTTCTCAGGATTCGTGTTCCTAAGGTTCATAGTGATATAAATCTATCCCGTGATTTTCTTTTTACTGTAATTCGAATTCGTGTTTTTTAGAGGTACCAATTAATGGGCTTGCTGGGTTTTATCATTTTCACCCCCGACAGATTGAAGTGAGGCGTGTGTGGACATTTTTTTTATCGCTAGAAAAAGAGCTTTGATGAATTTTCCGGTTCTAGTGATGATGAGTGGCTCTTGATGTGATTTTGATGAACACGAGTCACGAATTACGTGTTTCTCTTATTTTTTCAGACAGGAGTGAAAAAAAAAGGTTTTTTAAAAAATGCCGAGAGAAATCAAGAGTGGGGACTCGAGTCCCGGAAGCGAACCCGTGGAAATCGCTGGTGAAACGGACGAAGGATTCGTGCAAATCGAGAACCGCAAACCGAAATCCCCGGCAAAAACAGCTGTCGTTTCTTCTTCGTTTCCCGTTGTGCAAGAGCCGCCGAAAAAGCCGCAAATCTCCGCCGCAGTTGGAGACGTGCCGCTGGAAGGGCCTAGTGGCGGTTCTGGTGACGCCGACGAGGAGGTGGGTGGCGGCGGCAGTTGGTGGGGCGGTATCGGAGGACTTGTTCAGGCCGCCAAAACGACTGCTTCGAAAGTCAGCTCTGTTGCCGAAGCCGCTTTGAATGAGCTGACCAAAGAAGACGAAGAGGAAGGTGATGGAGAAGGGAATGTGGGTCGTGAGGACGTTCTGCTAGCTGAGGCCAGCGCTGAAGGTTTGTGTCACTTGTCGATGGAAAATATCCTAAAATGGTTTTGAACTATCTTCAAGAGATTTTGCTTTCAAAGGTTGAAGTTATTGTGAAAAGTCTGGTTGTTGGCATGATTTCTGAGTGGGCTTCAAAAGATTCTTTTTGATGAAAAGCATTGTTTTCCGCGTTTCTGAATTCTATTGAGTAATTTACTAAACATTTTACAATATTTTAGAAAATCTAAGGGATTTTGAAACGGATTATCTAATCCCGTGAGCTGAAAATCAAACAATAAGAGGCATTTTTCTGCTTCGGAGCCAATTTTCCTTTGTGAAGTAGCTCAACCTTACTCAATTAATTGCAGCATATCTAGTCAATTACTCATGGCGCTAATTCATGCGCGTCTAGACCCACTTAAATGCTAATATTTCGAAGCACCTTTGACCGTCTTACGAGGGAATTATTGTCCAAGTAAAGCTGAACAAAATGAAAGGGAAGAAAAAATTCTGGCACAATCGCTATGTTCTGCGCGTGGAAGATGAAAGAAAAAAAGACTCTCCAAAACAGGGACTCCTGACTGGGGCCCCGGAAATTAGTTGAATCTTTGGGATGACTTTCTGATGAAATGAATAAAAAAATATTTGTGTGGGGGAGGGTTTGTGGCATTAGAGGGAATTCGTGCCTCTCTTTTATTTTTCGTCTGTTGGACGAATATTGAATACAGTACATTTAGGTGGGGTTTTTTTCGATTGGAACGATCATGGAATTAAACCTGGCATATTCTGCATATCCGTGCTGCCCAACATATTGCCCACAGGTTGGACTGGCCTGCAGATACTGTTTCTCACTCCGTATAATTTTGTCAGTTGCCGCTACAATATTGAAAATATTTATTAAATGATGAATTTAGAAGTTCAAAATGGTGGTCCACCCTTTCAAAATTATACAAGGCAATGTTTGTGATTCAATCCATAGAACAGAATTAAACTTGAGACTTTTCTTTTAAAAGGGGAATATTTGGAGCCTCTAAAATGTTCTATTTTGGCATGCTTGGAAGACTCCACCACTGCATAAATTTAATTATGGTCATGTGCCACATCCGAGTTTGGTGGCACTTTTCCAGGGGCTCTATGGCTGCTTCACGAGAAAAAAGGACAGATCAGAAAATTGGATCGCATTCGATTTGCAAATTTTCAAATATTGCAATGAATTTCTGAGAACTGGTGTGTTCTTCAATGCAAGAAATGAAGGCAATAGCACTGTAAAGATCAAAACATTGTTCCAATGTTCAAAACATAATTTGTTTTGCATAGAGGTTACCAGCGGAGTACAGTACTTTTATTGCAATAGAGAAGAAATCACCGAATATTGTACAGCTGTGGAAGTGGGCTCCTGGGGGATGAAAAATATTGAAAAAAATTGTATGGTTACATTTTTTTGCAGGGTTGCCGGAAGGAGTCCCAAGATCAGAGTCGTCGCAAAGCGGGTCCTGGAACCTTGGTGGATGGCTGCAGATGGCGAAGGATAAGACAGTGGCCGGGGCCACTTCGGCAGCCGGCGTTTTGGACCTGGTGCGTCGGGACTTGTCGGAATTCACGCTAGAAACCGGGTCCGTCGTGACGTCGACTGCGTCTCGGTTGGGAGACAAACTCCACATTTCCGACGGCGTGTCGAGTGTGTTTAATGCAGTTTCGGGAGCGTTCTACATTCCGCCGGATGATGACGACGATGACGTTGCCATGGTTGTAGGTGGCGATTCCGTGCCGTTGGACCGACTGGAGAAGGAACTCATCGACCTCATGGCTGATGTTAAGGTGAGATTTGAGACACGAGTCTTGAAGGCATTTACTGATGAATATATTTGTAAGATTTCTTTTTTTTTTTAAAAGCTAAAGTCAAATTCATCTCAATCGATTTCATATGAGCGTACTTTTTGCCAGTGCCATCTCGCTGATATAACCTACTTACTCAGATGAGAAGCGCTCCAGGGGTTTTCAATCTAAAATTCGTATAAAATTGTATCCCCAAGAAGTGCACCACACTTTTTTAAACTCTATAACTGCAATATTTCAAACATGAAAGCCCCTAAATTTGAATTTCGAAATGAAATAAACCTGAATTCAACTGATTTTCAAATTGTTTTTATTCCGATACATTTTTTCTGTTGAACATGGTCGAACATTTCTCAATTAAATCGAGTATAATGTGCACCTAAATTTTTGAAACTTCTTGAAAAATTTGAAAAATGTGTCCCCCCCCCCCCCTATGACGCGCACTCCATTTTTTCTCTTGAATTTGAGGAAAGGTGCGTGTGGTACTTGATACGGTAGTTCAGTGTGGTGCTGTGTTATCCAGGAGATGCTGAAATACGATGTACAATATTTTACGAAAAACCAAATTACAGTAATCCATAATTTTTAAAGCAATTACGCTGATGTATAAGTTCTTGAGAAACTTTTACCGTCAATGTCAAGCTACCTCTTGATAATTTTATCTGGTGAGATTCTCGCGCTTGATCACTGATTTGCGGTATTTTAATTATTTATTAATCCTTCAATTTTCTTGTTTTGCCCTTTTAAAAGTCATAAAAATGAATGTTCTTATTTTAAATCACATTAAGACTTACACTGAGGATCCGGAGGATGCCAGCTATGCGGATTGGAGTGCCAAGTTTGACTCGGCAGCCAGACAGCAGGAAATGTCGGATTTGCTGGTGAAATATCAAATGTTACGTATGCACTACAAAAAGGTCGTGCCGGCTCGTGCGACCCACGCGGAGTTTTGGCAGCGTTACTTTTTCAAGGTTTGTTTATGCAAAAATTTAGTGATTTGCTTTCATGGTGAGAACGTGTGAACTTTCTGGAAAAAAAAAATTCCAGGTGGAACAGATTCGTGCTGCAGACGAGAAACGTAAAGAAATTAAAAAGCGAGCTGAAGAAGCCATTGTGGATGTCGGGAAAGAAACGAGCGACTGGGACGACGATGTCATGTGAAGCAGATGAAAAAAAAAGAAAGCGTAACACGGCGGATATATTGGCGTTGTTTCTATGAGTTACACAAATCGTGTGTCGCTGATGATTTTCTAAGTAGTACCCGGCATATCAGCGAGGAAATAGCCCTTAAGGAGGTTATTTTTTGTTTGTATTGTTGGTATCGGGGAGGAAAAAAAAGGTCACGTGTGAGGTTCTGTCTCTCCTTTCGCACTGGTGGGAAAAAAAAGAAACCTTTAATTTGTAGTAGTTCTTCTGCTTCCTCGTGTGGCGTTCCGGGGGAATAAATTATCGAGTGCTTGGAAATTTCTCAAATCGATTGATCAAGTCTGAAATCTTCGTGTAAATGCCAAGTACTAGATGCGATTGTTCACCTTTCGAATCCAATTTTTTTGTGAAAATTACGAAGCTGATGGATTGTCGACTGACTGGAAGCCCGTTTTGTGATGCGCTTTTTTTTCCGGATGCGAACTCGTCAGGGATACCTTTTTTTAATGAGTGAATGAGCTGGAGTTCGGTTGCACATTTTACGGGAGCTTCCGTTTTGTATGGGGTGTCCAAAAAGTTCCGGTGCTGGAAGAAAAGACAAACATTTCTGTTGTTCATGTTGCAAGGGAATTCTGGTGCGGGTAGATTTCGCTGGCATCTAATTTAAGGTTTTTGTTTATCCGAACAAGTTACTGAAAGAATACTTCGTCGAGGATTCATTCTTTTTGCGAGATTCGTGAATTGGGAAATTGTTTCAGCTAAATATTCAATTTTGTGCTTGCATTTTACTGAACACATTTCTAAAAGAGCATAAGAAATGGCGCACAGCAACTTTTTGGACACCCTGTCGGTGGACCTTGGGGTAACAATGTATTGATATACCAGCAATTTTCTTTTTCGAAAGGGAGGGAAATCAAGATTGTATGGGTTTGACTGTGATACGAATTGACCCCTGAAGTTCGTTTTTTTTTTTCTTTTTGGGTGCTGGGTTGGAAAACAAAGCATTGGCTCGTAATTCCAAGTTTGAATGTTCGAAGAAAAAGAGAAAATCACGGATTGTAGCATTGAATTTTGTATCGCATGGTTTGCCCAATTACGATAACTTTATGCGTGTGTCGGAGCGCCAAAATTTACTCCTGCTATATTTTTCTTCCGGCTCAAGCTCGTGCTGTTCGTTTTGTGTCCGCTTGATTTCAAAATTTAACAACAAAGAAACGGATTGGAATGTATCGTGATTCGGTTTTTTAGTAACTCGGGTGGTCCAAATTCATTTCAAAATTTATTTCATTGATGTATTAGTTGGCGAGCTTTTGTTTCTCATCAGCAGAGAAAAAAAATGGATCCTCTAGTGGAAGATGACGCTGAAGAATCAAGTCCGTGGCCAACATTCCAGGGTCGGGATGCTTTGATTTACCTAATTGACGCATCCCCAAAAATGTTCGAAAAATCTGCTGAAGAAAACTGTTCCAGAATCGAAATGTGCTTGAAGGTGTGTATAAGATTTTTGGTTTCATTTTTTACGAAGCTGGATACTTGGCAACTCGATTTTTTTTAGTGTGTCGGTTCAGCACTGAAGGATAGAATCATCTCCAGTGGCCAAGACCTTGTTGGAATAGTTTTTTTTGCCTCGGAAAAGCAAAATCAGCAGGAGTTTAGCCACATCACTGTGTGTCAAGAGCTTACGATGGTTTCTGCTGATTTCATCAAGTCTGTTGAAGCTGCTTTGGGTAAATCTTGATATTTCCTCATTTCAGATATAATATGCATTTCAAATTTGAACATTAATTGACCTGAAATCGATTTATTTTCAAAGAAGTTCCTGCCAAAAATGTATCACCGTTTTCTAGTGTGACATGCACCAAAATTTTTTAAATTAAAATGTAGCCTCACTTATAAACCGCTTTTTCCTCTTAAACTCACAAAAAAGGTGCACATTGTAGGGTACAGTATATGCAGTGCATCAGATCAACTTCCAAAAAAAGGCATTTCCTGAAAATCCGGGAAACGGAATTAGCATACAGTATTTACTTGAGTACTAGGCGCACCCAAGGTTTTTCAGTTCCAGATTTGGAGAAAAATTTATTTTTAAGAAAATGTGCTCCCCATCCTAGAGACTGAATATTGCAATACAGTATTTAGAAAATAAGACACCAGAATTTAAATTGATTCAACTTTTCCTTCCTATGAAAGTACCTGTCGAAATTAGCTCAAGATTTCCCGTTGGAATTTAGTATTACACTCCCTAAAGCCTCAAACGTAAAAAATTATTACCCCTTATAAAATTTACCCTCTTTTCTATCTTTTTTTTAAGGAAGGTGTGAGAGGTACTTAATTTGGCAGTCCGTCCTATATTGACACTCGCTCATGAGGTTGAGTTCGGCACAAGGGAAATTTGTTCTATTTTTTTGCTTTTATTGTCATTTGATTGTCAGTGAAATAAGATTCATTCAAACTGTTTATATATCAGATCTTATATTCTCGTAAAAAGAGTAAATTACAGAGAAAATATCACCAGGGCAATTTTTCTTCGCAGAAAATGGGGTAGAAGATTTCAGAGGAACACGGGCATCCGCCGATGGATTCAAGTTGAGCGAAGCTTTCTGGATTTGTGGAGACATGTTCAAAAATTGGTGAGTGGAAAGATACGAAATTTCGCGACAAAAAAAAAAAAAAAAAAAACAAAAAAAAAAAAAAAAAAAAAAAAAAAAAATTTCAAAAAAAAAAAAAAAAAAAAAAAAAGCGTAATAAATTCAATTCACGTAATATCAACGCTTCGTGACGGGGAAGTAAGAATTGGGTAGTGAAGGCGTGGACCAACGTTTCAGACACCGTTGTCTGATCCAATTGGTCAAAATCTTGTGACCAGTTTTCTTCTGCTTGTGCTCTGTCATGCGTTGAAGTCTGAGGGCTTCTTTGAACACCTTCTTGTCATGCTTAATATTCTGCGAGAAAAAAAAACTTATTTCAAGGTTTTGCTAAAGGGACGTGCGGTATTGGAATTTTCGTGTACCTCTTGGCCAGTGTAGTCCCAGAGTCGGCCTTTTCGCAAGTCGAAGTTCGCTTTGCTGAGAGGCGGGTAAAACGTTTTCACGGAATCGTCGGAGACGTTATTATTCGAAGATTCCGAAACATGATGGGACTTAATATTGTGGTGATGTTCGTTGGTGCTTTTGTGTACTTTTCTCATGCGAGCTTCTTTATCCGGTCCCCGAGTACTGATGAACAGTTATATGATATTCAGTTTTAAAAAACGGGGTTTTACGTTTCTTGCTGCGATTGACAGCCTGAATGCTCTTGCGGGGATTGAGCCCCTGGACTGTTGCCTGGATTACGAGGGATGGTTCTAAAGTTTTTTGTCAGTAAGATGAATTAAGCACTATTTTTTCGAACGTGTGACCTGCCATCAGTCTTTGTATGAAGCTGTGGAACTTGTGAACCAACCCTCGTAAGCAATTGTAGGAGATGTTTTCAAAGTACTCACGTGTATATTGTGTTGATTTTGAAGCAATCGGTTTTGGAAATCTTGACTCGTTGGCCAATGCGTCTGATGGCAGTCTTGTCTCTTGGGATAATTGTCGGGATGCCGGGATCAATGGCGAAAGCAGCTGCGTTGTAGTGCATCACGCTGTGGTAATCGTATGGCAGGAATTCTGCCAGGCAGTTTCTCATGGCGAATTGATCCTCGTAGCCCCTCCTGGATTTTTATTTTTTGCAGTACATACATTGGAATATCTTATTTGTTGAGTTTTCAAGGAATTTAGAACCTCTAGACTTATCCTCAATCCTCCTTGACTCAATTTTCTGGAAGCCCTTTGGCTATTAACTTATTGACGCAAGAAAGAAAAACGATAAAATGTGTCACAATGTGGTTTGAAATATATAAGTGAAAGACTAATTAGGTAAATGGATGCTTGCCTTCAAGTTCAGCATCCTGTCAACTCATTCAAGAAGCACTTCAAGGGCCAGAATTTCACTTATTCTTTTATTCTGTATTACTTGTTTCCGTAACTTGAAGCCTGTTCAACTCAAATTAGTTTTTATAACAACTTTATATAATGCAAGCTGCAAGTGGATGAGATTTTGAACATTTAAAAGCACAAACTACTTTAATCACATTTCAAGGGCTACCCTGCCTTGAACCAGAAGTTTTACACCCTAAACTGCCTAAAGGACTGCCCTAGCTGTAACTACTCTAGCCTGAGAAAACTTATCCTTAAAACAACTTACCTATCCTTAAAACAACTTATCCTTGAAACAACTTATCCTTGAAACAACTTATCCTTGAAACAACTTATCCTTACTTGGCCCAAGAAAAACTTACTTGGCCCAAGAAAAACTTACTTGGCCCAAGAAAAACTTACTTGGCCCAAGAACAACTACCCTATCCTAAGAACAACTACTTCAGCCTAAGAGAAACTACAGCACTCTATAACAATGAAAAAACTAGTCAATAGCCTTAATAACTACTTTACTTTAACTGCTTCCCATTATCAGTTATCACGGATGAAAATATGTAATAATCATGGATGTATTCAAATAGTGCTGATGAAGACCACATATTTTGTGAACTTTTATCTCACGAGATGTTGTTCCAATTGATGTTGACAAATTCATCTCTGTCTGTGCGACACTGTTCGTGGTCGAAGCCCAGGCTGTGCATTAGCTCATGGCAAATCCTCCCATGTTGATTCACGCATCTAGAAGACAACTCCACTTCCTGCTTTCCCCCCAGGTATCCCAAATCTGCAAAGCAAGCACTTGGTCCGTGCCTCAAAAACAGGAAAAATAAATATAATTTGAATGCCAAAAAATGAAAGGGCTCGCGAGTGGATGATCCACCTGATGTACACGTAGTCTTTCTGGAAAGTGTGGGGCTGGAACCTGACGTTGGTTTTCTCGTGAAACTCGTGAAACGCGTGGCGAATCAAGTGTTTCTCGTTCTCGCTGAAGTTCTCGTCGATTCTGTAGTGGATGATGTTGGTGGGCCAGATGGCCGGCACTTCTTCCAGCTTGCCCCCGAAGCCCGGGGTCGTGAAGGGACTCCAGTTGAACTCCTGCTGGTGCCTGTTGACGGGACGGGCCTGACGGGCTTTTTCACTCATGCATTCCCCAAGTGTTGCTGATCTCTAACTTCAGTGTATACTCTCGACTAAAACTAAACTCGTATTTCTGCGGTATCGAAAGTGGAAGAATTGGCTGCATACGTTATTGAACTCTGTGTTGGGGTGTAAGCTTTCGAGAGGTGAAGCATTTCCTGAAGTGAAACATTTCCTCAGTTGAAATAAGTAAGTTACCCGGTCGATATCAAAAATGTTATTTAATTCGCTTTACACGGAATTCGCTCTACCGAAGCAATCGTCCCAGTCCCGAAACACTAATTATAATTTCTGATTCGCGCGCGGGGATTTGAATAAGACATCTTTCGATGAAGTTTGCGTGGAAACACTTGGCACACTACTTGCGTCTATCTGAACTGAGTTTTTTCCGTTTTTGAATAATTCAAATTTTCAAGTGTTGAATTACAAACGATGAAAAAAAATTGGAATTTTTAAATTTAAATTGATTCATGTTTTACTTGCTTCAAATTCCGTTGCCTCCTTCGTCCC